ACATGCAATAGGAATGACTCGTCACTCATACCTGAAATATGGAAAATACTATTACCAATCAAATCAAGTGAAAATCAAGAGAAAAACAATGGAACTATATAAATGAATTTAGGAAGTCGTGTGATTACCTTGATATGATTATGAGCAATAAATTGTGCTCGAAACGTCATCAGTAAACATTACTGTATAACACTGTGAGACTTTATCAAAACAAAATTTTCCCATAATGGAAGAAAAGCCAACACACCACAAGCATACCCACAGCACAATCTCACACATCAATGACGACCTGCGCGTCCAGACAGAGACCTCCTCTTGACATCTTGCAACACAATCGCCATTTGCTAGAATGACTCTTGCAGAATGCAAATTGACCATGGCACCACCTCACGATACTCTACGCACATCCTCTTAATTACTCACTACCAATTACCATTGAAATCGCTTGTCACTCATTCTGCCTCAGTTCTAGTAGCGGTGACGCATGCGAGCCTCAGTCGTTTACACTCTTTCTCCCCGGCGTGTCGGACCGCAGCTAACAATTATCTCCGTGTGCGTTTCATTCTCAGCAATAGCCTAGCCTCCCCGGCGTATACGACCCATCTGCTGTCTCTAACATCAATCAATTCATTCACGGATGTAGAAGACAAGAAACAACTTCAGAAGTAATCACGACGAAAATTTTAACAAAATTATGCAATAAAAACAAGGCACGAAAACAACGAGTAAACACAACTGATCCAAAATCACAAATTGCGAAGACACACCACACGTATACACAAACAGTACAAATAACCTCGCGGATCATGTCTTGGTGGAATTATTTTGAAGAATTGGAAGACTTACACCAGTACGCCTGCAACCCTTCACAGGTTGACGATTGTAAGTTGTGGAATGTCCAGACACAAACAAGATTAACCAAAAATTGCGATAATTGGAACTCACACAACTATTTAACACAAACATATGTACAATCAACACATCAAATGTTGTGGATTCTGACACGACAAACTACCCTTGAAGAACTGTAGGACTTACAGCAGTACGCCTACATTCCTTCTCAGGTTGATGATCCAAGTGGAAGTCGTCCGGACACAAACAGAATTACCAACAGCTAGATGACAGATGATATCAATTCAGTATATACAATATGAACATATGTACAAAATCACACACCAAGCACATTGGACTGCTCATTGATGCGCTACCCTTTGAAGAACTGTAGGACTTACAGCAGTACGCCTACAACCCTTCTCAGGTTGACGCCCTAGGTTGGAAAATCGTCGCAGAGTTCATTTGCTAACTTCCTTCTATCAGCTATATCCTCAAATCTGAACGGTAACACGCTCATGTCATTGTATCGTAGAATATAGATGACGAACAAACACACGACGTATCTCATCAACCAAGCGTAGAAACAGAGTAATTTACACCAAAGATAATAACATTCAAATAGTAACTTGAAACTAGAAATGCCTTTATTCGTGCAAGTCAATTTAACAATAACTCTCTCGTTTACACTTGGCTTATCCACACTAAACTGACCATTGATATTCGTCCTTTCAAACGAACTGATACTACCATAGTCATTGCACAAGATACTTGAGTTGATGGGTGTCTGTTTCATTGTGGATGACAGCACCAACGATGACTGAGTGACACAAGGTGATGAACTTAGTGGTGGATCAGAAGCTGTTCTTTTTCGGCTTTCAGATAGTTGTCCAACTGCAAGATTACCACCACTGCTGTCTTTCACTACTAGTTCGGGTTTAGCACTATCATCTGATGATAGGTGGGCTACACGCTGATCAATTACACTGACTGTCTCACAAGTATGCACACCTTTTGGAACTGCATCTGCGTTCAATTCTACTTCACGTTGTAGTTGTACAGAACCTTTATTTAACTTAGCAGTAGTAGGCATATCCCTCATCTCATATTGATCAACCAAAGACAACTGTGAAGTATCATGATCATTATCACGAATATTCACTTTACCGTCAACTTCATCATTTTCAAACTCTTTAATAACAGAAGTAGACAATTTTGGTTCCTCCTCGCAAATCATAAAAGGTTTTATAACTTCACTCTGACTAGTAATACCTTGTAAACTTGTAGGGTCAGAACTGCACTCTGAAGCAGTAACTCTATTCTGTGACACTCTATTCAACAACGGCTTACCAGTTGCAACTACAGACTTCTTCACCGCACCGTTATCGTCACACAATTCGGAGTCAGACCTGGAGTTTACATTTAGCTTATCACTGAACTTGCTCACCGGTTCACAGTTCACTTCTGTATGCACCTCTTGCACACGTGTAAAACAAAACCGTGTTTGTCTTGCATCTTGTAACCTATCAGTTGAGGATGTACTACGAAACCTGTTACACTCACTAGGTCTATATGCATTACTAGACATCATGGAGCTTTCTCGATAACCACCTCTCTGAGGCCTACTCGTCATCAATGATTGCATTTTGATCTCAGACTGCTCTATTCTAGGGGTGAGATGTAATAGACTGGCGAACTTGCTCATAGATTGATTGACACTAGTATTCACCAGTTTCAGGATATCATCAAACTTTGGCTCGATACCCTCATCCTCCATACGGGAGCTTATCTTCACCCACTTCCTTTGCAGTCGAGTAGGTAGACGTCTTGCTATTACTTCTAGTATAAAACTCGAGTTGAGGTCACTCATGCGATTCATCGAAATCATTCCATTCTTGTAAATTAGCAAATTATCTAAAAACTCAGTGAGTGCCTGGGAGTCATCCTGTAATTGACCACCATTACCCTTAACAGCCTCGAATAATTTCCCTGCAATCATCGAAGGTCTTCCAAACCTTTGACGTAATATGCTCATAGCCTCGTAGTAGCCCTCTTTTGGCTTCATAAACTTACAACACTGTATAGCTCTTGAAGCATCTCCAGTGCAATATCTCATCAAATACATCAATTTCAATTCATCACTTAATAAAAAACTACTCAACATGATCTCAAACTCCTTTACAAATTGTAAATAATCAGCCGGGTTTCCATCAAAACACCGTGGTTCTAATTTAGGGAGTTTGATGTTCCTATTATCCCTGAACGGCGAAACAGTAACATCAACCATGTCATACTTAACATCAGACACATCGTTACAATTAACAGACAAGTCACCATGACTTACTTTCCTGTTTGCATCCAAGACACTCTGTCCCTTCTTTGACCCAGGCATTGTTGAACTTGACCCAATTCCAAAAACGTTCCAGATATTGCTTGTTCAAAGAGGACTTGACCGGCACCAGGAAAAATGAACGGCGACTATCCAAACTTTCACCAAATGTTTGAATCCGCCAGATCTGTTTCCATCGTCAGAAACTGTCAATCACGTCTCATAAACCGTTAATGCCCAGCTCTCGCTACGCTCGGGCCCACGCTGTTCTTCGAAGATTTCAGAAACGCTTAGTTATAACGGACGAAAAAACCAAAACACCGATCTGCCGCTTGAGATTTGTTTATTGTTACACCAACATATAAAAGGAATAAGCGAACTAAGGTCTGAAAACAAATATTACAATAATAAATCTCTGTATTACTTCTGACGATGTTTCACTCTTCTTTCTGAACAGCGACCGATGAGACGATGACTGTCATATTGATGCCTCCGCGAAAATTGGGGAAGTTGATTTTAAGCAAACAACCAAGAATTGATCGTTCAATCTTCAACTCCATTGACAAGGACCAAAACCGAAATGGATGAGCATAGGGTCCAGTCATAGGGAGGTGAAAGGTCGTGCGAAGTTTTTAGGCAGCGTCGAAATGATAGCATTGAACAGAAAACAGTGGGAACGTGCTAGTGAAATCCAGTATTCTTCTCGGAACCCATGTGAATAAAGATAACGACCTTCAGATAACTGTGAGATCGACCTCGCAGATAAGTTCAGTTAACTGGTGGCATTTAGGTCATAAGAATTTTAACTCCTTGTAGAACAACCAACCAGGAAATATGGTGAACTTATTGAAAAACCTGAAACTGCAATACAGATACTATCGCGTAATTGCACGGAACAGTAGAGCAAACCCATAGTAGTTTGGCGAGTTAGAATGACAGTTTGACAGTTGAACCTTAGCTATCAGATCACCAGCAATAAGAATGACGAAACACAGATACCAAGTGTATCGGATATATTATTATCAACGAAATCAAAGGATTAGAAGTGATAGAAATATAATAAGAAAGTCCGAAAGTTGCCTGAACTACTTGATGTAATCATGAACAGCATATTGTGTCCAGAACGTTACCAGTAACTAAATGACACTGCACTATTGAGTGCTTCATCAATAAAGGGGTTGATAAAGTGTTGTTTTGTCAGGATTTGATTGGTTACAGGATTTCATCATGTGTTGACATTGGTTAGAGAACCGCCGGAAAACCTGGGAGTACTGAACAGCTGTTTCGTCCTTGTTTGGGTCGCACTATGTCGCGAATTGGCAGAAGTTAGAATTCATGGGCTATTGGATTGGGTCTCAGTGGCTTAATGGTATGCCAGCTCGCCTTGTAACCAGAAGGTCCTGGGTTTGAACCTCGTGGTTAGCGGTTTTTATTTGATAGCACTTTCCAAATTCCTCCTTTTAACTTACACGACAAATTTTCCTTTATTCTAAGCATATTAATTACGCCCTCTATATCAAAATTATTTACCTTATCAAGAAGTCTGGGGGAAGGATTTTTTACTACGGGTAGATTTACTGAATTAGTCTGTGACGTTTTAAGGCCCAAATATTTTATTTCTAAAATACGTAGTCAATGCTTCGGTTATTTGACTCTCATATCACATTTGCTTACTATGACTAAAATATATGACGAAATGTCTAGCATAATCCGTTTTCACTGATTTTGTCCATTCAAAATTCAATTGTTTTTTTCTGCACTCATTCACCGGAAGTCATTTGGCGCAGCCGTTGTTAGTGACGCTTTCGTGTCTTTCAACTCGGACAATGGTTTAGTTTGTTGTTGGGATTTACTTCATTCTGGGTACGTTTATAAGTATATTGCAGTAATGTCTTATGAGCGCTCGTCTTTGTATGGATTTAGCCCTCATGACTTGTTTTTTCGAAAATGATATGTAAATTCCACCATCATATGCGAATATTTTTGTATGGATAAAGTGCATGCATATACTCTCTACTCTTATTCCATTATCTGCAACTTAGGCACATTGAATCAAAATATGACTGTTAAAATCAATATTGAATGTGAAGACAATGAGATTTCGCAAGATACTTGGGCTACAAAACACTCCGGTGATGTCGTACCAACTAATGACTTGGTGTCATTGTCATGGCTTCAGAAAGATGATATTTTACAGATAACTCCTTTGGATGGGGAGGAAGAAAATGGCAGTGATTCTTTAAATTCCACTGGGATCAAAAGTCAAGATAGGGAAGACACCAACTGCAGTCCAGGATTACGCGTCGAATCTCAGGAATCCTACTACTCGTCTCCACCAGTGTCCGAACAACCCCTCTCTATTTTTGGTAGAAGCATTCGTCGTTCTGCATCAGTATCAGGAGAACAGTTTTATGGAGAAACTACACGGTATCGAAGCAATCCGTCATCTACTATCACTGGCAAAGGACTTGATAAACCAAACTACAGTTATACTCACCTTATATTCATGGCAATCGAATCGACACCACAAAAGTGTATGACTGTCAATCAAATATATAACTGGTGTGAGTCGAACTTCCCATTCTACAAGCATGCTGGTGCTGGTTGGAAGAATTCTTTAAGGCATAATTTATCTATCAACAAGTCTTTCAAACGATTACCTCGTGATAGTCGTGTAAGTTATTATCTTTCATTTGCGTTTGTTTTCTGCATTTAAATACAATGTTTATCTACAAATATGTTTTCTTCCCTTATGCAGAATGAACCTAATGCCATTGTGAAGTGTAGCTTCGATGTACTGTGCTCTCAAAGACAGGAGCATGAAGACCTTGATGATGACGAGGTGATAGATTGTCATATGCACCTCAAACGCACTTCTGTGTCACTGCTATCTTAAAGCGCACCATTGTTTCATATTGTTGTACTGTAATTGTCAAATAATTCTGTGTAAGCTTGTTGTTGTGTCGCCATGTTACTCACTGCTTCTATTTCACTGCCTGATAGTGTTACTGTTTAACAACTTTTCAAAACTAGGGCCCCGGTCGAGGTGCTTTCTGGACAGTTGAGCCTCGTGAGAGAGCTACCTTATTGGATGCCATCAAACGAACCCCATGGAACAATGGTAACACATCTGCAGCTGGGTGTCAATCACTTAATGATAGTGGCAGTACAAATTCTGTCAGTGCATTTCCAGTCGGACGGTTTGGTCTTGCACGAAGCGCTCCCAGTCAGCTTTTGCGTGCTGAGGGTTTAGGAAGTGATAAATTTGGATCTATGGTTGGAGAATCTGCACCTCACATTCGGTTGTTGTACACTAGTGATGGCAATGTTGTGGCCACATACGATAGTTCATTCGTTGACCCATCAAATTCTGGACATGATGGTACAACAGATGTTAAAGCACTGGTATCTGATTCGACTTTCTTTGATCATAGATACTGGTCCTCACCATCTGACGAGGCAACTAGTATTGATAGTGCTTCAGCTGAAGTTGAATGGCCAGCCGAAGAAGAAGAGAAGTACTTAAACATTCTACGCCTATTAAATGAAACTGAAGCGACCGACACTGCTAAACTGAATTCACCTACTACAGACCAGCCAGTCGGAGATGGTTTTCTGTAAGTTGTATTTCTAATTTCGGTTGATTGACTAAAGTTAGACTATTTTTATGCTGTAGTTAGATATAACTCATTGTATTAAGGCAATAGATTAAATGCTTCCAGTTAATGATGTCATACTACAACCGCTTAATATTCGTCTTGGTGCGTGTTTGTATTGTCTGGATTACATTATTTACACCACAATGCCTTATTTCTTGGCGTGAAGTTTACGTTAAATTTAGATTGCCAAGAGGTGTTAGGATATCATCTAATTATTGGAGTATTCAGAAGGTATACTACATTAGTCAGTTTTTAGTTGGTAGTACTTATTTGCCGGTGGTCCTCTTTAATAAATCTTGTAAATATCCTTATCATAGGGGTGATTCGTTAACTCTAACTTCAGGAAAAAGGATTTGTAAAATAAGGCAAATCGGTTTACATTGCATGTGAACCACAACTCTAAGACAACACGCTCCCAGAACACCCTGATGGGAAATTGACTTCTGGACAAGAAGTGCTTTTCACCTGTCAGTCTTAAGATACTGCGTCAGGACTGATTTTGTCATAAATTAACTGCGTATAGTACCTGAATGTGTGTAAATGTTGGTCACGTGTGGGATGGTTTAATGTGATCTTAGACGTAAAGCTGTATTCATTTATACAATTCCTGTATTTCATGGATTATTATCTCACGGTATGCGGCTAACACTCAAAATTAATAGGATCAAAAGTAGTATTCAATTTTTAAATTCGTAAACTAGCAGATTGTAACATGAGATATTGATCGAAAAGGGATAGGGGAAGTTTGACTAAGGAACTAAGTAAAACTTTGGAGAATCGGTGTCTTCTGTTATTGGAAAGATTTGTCTTTTTTTGGTAATATTAACTTCATGTCGTTTTCTTTCTTATTTGCTTGTTTCGTCTATGATTGTATCCTGTTTAGATTATCACTGAATCTTGTTTGTTTTGTATTGTTCTAGGTCTAATGAAGTAAAACGTGATGCTTGGGAAAGTAAGCTTAAATTTCAGTTATAATGTATTATTTAGCTTATTACTCTGCCAAAAGTGTAGGCTTAATAACGTTTTGAAAACTGTTGTCATTGAAGAAAAGTATTTGGATGCAAAATAATATTAGGGTTGCGTTGGTTGTGGTGGGGTTTCTCTTTGTATGGCATAGCCAATTTACAACAACTCAGTAATTTAATTGGTTTGACTTGTAATTAATTATTCATAAGCAGTTGCAAACCCAATTTTGTTTCTAAAGTAATTTTAACCTTAGGTAGTTTCTCTTACCTCCTCCAGCAACATCTAGAGGAACCATTGTCAGATCATTTGGAAGTTTCTCATATTTCCTAAGGATATTTTTCCAAAGTTAGGCCAGTCAATACCAGTGTGAGCTACTCCCAATGTGTACACAGCCTTCCGCGTAGACTTCCTTTACGTTCCGAGTGGAACATGGGTCTCCGAGTTAGAGCTGTGAAGTTTCAGTGGCAGTGGGGTTGTTGGGTTCCCGTCCAACCTCCCCTCTTCATCGGCCTTACTATCGGCTTCGCAAGGGTTAAGGTGTGCGTCGGGCGACATCACCTCCCTCAACTGGCAATGTTAGCTGACATAGGGTCAGGTTAGAAAAGAGCCAAACCAAAACATGACTTCAACAGTCAATGAAATCCACAATAGTTAGTTCAAGCCAGTCACGTAGGGAGGCGTAGGCTTCCTGACTGGTTGAAGTCCTCGAGGCTGTTCAAACCAATGGCTGGAGACAATTGGTGATATGGCTCAGAATCGTTCTCAATGTCTGGCGCAGTTAGATGCATCCACTCCTTGTGATTGATAATACCCAATACCTCATGTCCCTGTTTACTGTCTCTATTATGCACTTCTGCTTTCTTCTCTTGTTTTGTATGCTAGATGGAAGAAGTGTGGCAACTCGAACTGCTGCACATCGGTGCAAAGTTCTGTGTTGAAACCAGTCAGTCAGGCGAGGGTCGGACCTCGCACCACGTGTGTGGTTGGTGAGCGTTCTATCACTGAACCACCGACACTCGACGGAGACTTCGTCTTAATTTTTTTCTCAGTGTTTTTCTCAAAGAGTGTTGATATTGCAGTCGTTCGGTCGGTAGTTTTCTTGCGTTTATTCTTCGTCATCTCAAGCTCATACCTAGACGATGCATTTTCTGGGTGTCTTCTGATTGAATTTCACTTTAAACAATGTTCTAGCACAATAGTGTGATATTAGACTACAGTTAGTGAGATTTTGTTTCGTAATAAAATCGTAAAACATTCGTCCAAGCGATTATTACTCAATGGGTTATTTCTATCTCCAAGGTTTGACTCTGCGTTGATAGCGAACATCTACTGTACATCGGCCAAAACTAAGCAGCTTGGTGGTTTTGCATAAAAACATGTTACAGATCCCAATATTTGTAATAAAAGTGTTTCTGTTATTGCTTTGTAAGCATCTTTAGCAATACTTCTATTGTAAACAAACCTTATTTTCTCTTACTGTAGAAATGATTGGGACGCACATTTTAGAGGATCCAAAACTGGTCACGAAGCAAAGGAGGAAATCACGCTTATTACCAACACGCATAAGTAAGTCTACATCTTAAATTATATGAAATGTGCCGATCTGTTTCTACTTTATGTATGTGTAGTGTTTCTCTTGGTTATTACAGTGACTCAGTAGTTATTGTTGTTGTGCCCCATTGGTTTTGGTTCTCTAACATGACCCACTGGCTTGCGTGTTTTAACCGTACTCCATCCACGGCGTTTGTGGCAGCCAGTCAGTATCATAACTTTCACATTTTGTGGCTAATTTTTTCCTTCATGTTCCCAATGGAACGTAGGGCCTCAAGCTAGTGGCTTGAAGTTTCTGTAAGTGTTCAACTTTTTACAGGAAGGGTTTGCTAGCCTCATTCCCGCCCAACTTTTCCTCCTCACCAGTCCTACTACTGGCTTATCGAGGCAAAGGAGTGCGGCGGTGGCCGGGGATCGAACCCCGGACCATGTGCATGGTCGGCGAGCGTCCTAACCGCTGTGCCACCGACACATCTGGTGGCTCATTGGTATGCGCATATAAGTTGAAGTCACGTGAGCAACGTACACACTAGTATACATGCGGTAAAAAATGCTTATGAAATGCTTACTTGTATAAAAAAGCCATTTTATAGGGTAACCCAAGGAGCAATTATATTCGACGGATTACTTTGGAAGGAGAAATTTGAAGGATGAAGACTTGAATACAGGTCCTGACAAATAAACTTCAGAAATTTCATCTCAAGCATTAACATGTCTACGTCTAAAATCAATTTCTGAATGGTCTGCTTTCTACATACCTTTCTTTGAACTCAGGCTTTTATGCATCCTTTTTTAGACATCATCCAACCCGCCCATACATTGCATAGTAGGCAGACTTTACCTGTCTGGCTCCTCAGGATGGTTAACAGCACGACGTTTCTCGTCAATCTAGGCATCTGATTTTCTGAATTTAGACTTCCTTCAGAAGCTTTCTAGTTCCCCTGTCGTCAAATACTGTAGATCGATTTACTGGACGCAGGGTTAAGCGAAAACAGTAAAGGATAGTATTGGCAAAAGAATAAAGTTTCATAATAAAGCCACTTAATGCATTAAGCATTTTCTGTTTGTCGCACAGTGCCTCCTCTCATACCTTATCACCGTCTGCCATTGTACACATCTTTCCAAAGAATCCTCGTCTCAGACTGAATAACCGACGAAAAAATCCGCACAACAGTGACCTCTTTTCAATTGTCACACTTTGAAAAAGCACACCTTTTTGGTGTCTTCTTCACAAATAACTTGGTGTTGTCTAGACAAAACTTTCATTGGACACCAGCAACTAGTGTGATGTGTCTAGCCCTTTTTTTCTTGTAGGCTGAATTCTATCAGTTAAGTTTTGCAATGTGACCACCATTCTAGGTGGCTGGCCATCATGTTGCGCTTTGAATTGTTGATATTAGATGGTTGGAGGCGATCGGCCACAGGAAGCCTTGGACGTAGGTTTCAACAATTCAAAGTGCAACGTAATGGTGAGCCATCTAGCATGGCGGCCACATTGCGAACTTGACTGGTAGATTTCAGTATGCACCAAAGAAAGGAATGGCCAGACACATCACACTAGTAACTAACTAGTGTCCAGTCAAAGTCCCTAGTACAGTCCTACAGGAGGTCAATCGCTAGCCCGAATAGCTCTGACTGCAGGCAGCACTGGGTGATGCGGGTATGAAGCTCAAAAGGGGCATATGTTCCTTCAAGATTACGGATATACCTTGCTGATTTGTGAGTACCAGGCAACTAGCACGAAGCGTAAGTCAAGAGCAAGGCTTCCTACCGACTGTCTCTCTAACCATTGAATGGAAAATAATATCATTGGAAGCTAAAAATCTGTAAATGTTTCACGTTTAGATTGCAAGTATTTAACTATACATTGTGTGATAGATTTCATAACAATTTCTTGTTACTTCTTAAAATCCTTTATGATTTGATAAATCGCGCATAACCAAAATGGAGAGGCAAATAACAGTTGCTTCTCATTTTAAGGTCATTTCATAATAATTTACTGTAGTTGTGTGACACAAACACCACCTTTCCGTATGATTATATTCACAATTCATAGTTTGTTTCCATTCGTCTGAGTGACTCTATTAATAATAATTTAAATAATTCTTCCTTCACGTTCCCAGTGGAACATAGGGCTCCAAGCTAGTGGCTTGAAGTTTTTGTAGCAGTGTTTATTTTTACAGGATGGGGTTGCTAGCCTCATGCCCAACCTTTCCTCTTAACCAGCATTTTTCTGGCTTATTGAGGTAAAAGAGTGACTACCTTTATTAAATAAAAGGTGAGTAGTTTCACTACTATTCATCCTACTGCTGATTGTTCCATTATGGCATGAAAAATAAACTAAGTGACATTCAACTAAAGAATAATGAAACAGTGGTTAGTTTTGGTGTATAACTAGTCTTTATACTAATATACCAATCAATATGGCCTTAGAAGTAGTTAAAAAAAGAGCTAACTGCAGATCCTGAACTCAATCATAGAACGAAGTTGCCCATTGGGGAAATTATTTTAGGAATTCAGTTATGCTGTCTCACATATACTATCTTTAAATTCCAAGACAAAATATATAGACAAACAAGTGTAGCAATAGGATCACCAATATCCCCTATCGTAGCATATGTCTTTATGGACAGCTGGGAAAATATTGTTCTAAATACATTTGAATCGGAAAATGAGCAAGGAGAATTAGCTATGTTAGATTGTAAAATAAAATAAATAGAAGAAGGTAAACTGCACACTAGTGTTTACCGAAAGCCAACGCATTCTGCTAATAGATATTTAGACTTTAATTCATCTCATCCGTTAACTGTTAAGGCAGGCTTAGTGAAATATCTAACAAACCGAGCAGTGGCACTAAGTAGCACAAAAAAGACCTAAATGATGAAATAAAACAGATAGAAGAGGCGTTGGTGTTAAATAACTATCCTTTAAAATTCATTAGGAAGATCGAAAAAGGCCAAAGGAAAAATAAAAATAATTCTGAAACTGGTAATAATAACATAAATAAGAGAGAATATAAGTCATCGACAGTTATACCATATAAGGAGGGAACATCTGAGACCCTACGTAGGATTTTGAATAAAGCAGGAATTAAGGTGGTGGCATTTAAACCTACAATCTCACTCAGGTAGGATAAGCTCTGTAGGTCAAAGGACCCTGTCGGTTGACCCAATTAGACAAAATAATATGATTTACAAAATACCATGCAGTGACTGTGAGTGAGGTTAACTACATAGGTCGAACTAGTGGATCAGGAGTAGTACGATTATTAGAACAAGAATTTAACTGATGTAAGAATGGTTGACCCCACGAAGATAATACTTAACCACACAATAGAGTGGGAGAGGGTTAAAATTCTAAAAAGTAATCTAGGTAGGTGGAGAGTGAGAGAGATTGATTATTGGATCCTGGTTCATCGAGTCTACACCCAACACATGCAATAGGAATAACTCATCACTCATACCGAAATTATGGAAAATACTACTACCAATGAAATCAAGCTGTGGAAAATAATGATGGAATTATATACACGAAGTTAGAAAGTTGTGTAAATGAGTGCCTTGATATGATAATGAGCGGCAATAAATTGTGCTCGAAACGTGGTCATCAGTAAATGTTACTGTACAACACTGTGTGATTTTATTAAAATAAATTTTACCCATCGTGGAATTATACTCTACCACCACAGCGCACAAGTTTTATTTTTATATCTACTGCTGGTTGATTGTGCAGTATCATTTCGTAACTCATCTCACACGAGTAATTTTTTCACGTTTTCGCTAAAATCACCAGTATAAAAGTGTGTGTGTGTGTGATCACTACCTTGATCTAGATGCTTGTTGTTGTTGTTCTCGTCGTTGTCGACGTGTCGTCGTAGTAATAGTTTCTAGTGTGTTGTACTAAACTACATTTTCCTCATCAATTGTATGTTTCAAATGACCTGTCGTCAAGATTTGACAGAATAGTTCTAAAATATTTGGGCGTATTTTCACTCTTTGTTGTCTGTAACAGAATAAGGCATATACTAAATCCGTAGCTGTCGAGTCACCTGACAACTCTCCAGTAGGTCGAGTAAAGCAGCTCAATCTTCAAAACAAAAAAGACAAAGCAATAAGTTCGACAGGGTGTATTTCAACTAAACTCTAATCTTAAACACTATAAATTTGAAAATACGTCTTATCATAAAATTCTAGGTACTAACAGTTTGAACAGACATGAAGGTATGATGTGTGTTAGCTGATGCATAGCAAATCCTGATTAATTAATAAATAAAAAAATGAATATGTATCACTAATTAATTAATAATACTTGGTCAAAATTCCTGATGGTCTATATATTTTCTTATGGAGAGGTTAACAAATGTTTTACAGCTGTTTACCCACACATACACACTGTTTAAAGTGTTTAACAAAGGTAGAACAATATTTGTAAGTTCGAGGTCACATTTTGATCACAGCTCATACAATTTTGTTTATTCTACGTGTTGATACCTGTTTCATGACTCATGATTGGATAAAGTTTTTAAAAACAAGAGACTTCTCCCCTTTTTTATATATAAACTTGTTATGCTAATTTCGATTTATTACCCTGAAGAAGTTCAGACCAGATTGCTGAATGTAGGAAACGTTGGAATTACTGATTTCAATTTTGCTGAGATTTTACACAAATATAATTGTATATATATTTCGCATAATTTATTTCTTCTAGATAAGTGTAATGAATGCAAAGAAAATGTAGCTGGCTGTGAATCTTGTCTTGCTAAACGCTCTGAAGTTCTTAACAGTAATTATGTTCGTACCACTCTAAAAGAATATGATCTTGATGTTAGTAATATGTTGGACTGTGATCAAGAACCTGGTCCTGCTGGTGGACCACTGTCGAGAAATTCAAATATCAAGACGTTGAAACCTTCCTCTCCAACTGCTGCAAACACGGATGATAATGATAATGATAATAATTCAGATGTGACTGATGAAAAAAAAACACTGAAATCTGAGGAGATTTATGCATCGAATGAAGTTTACGTTACTCCATCACCGTATATCGACCATGAATACTCCCACTGTCAAGCACAACTTCGTCGACCTGAAGAAAATCAACTAGTCAATAAATATAATGACAATTATTTCTCTGAAAGACTTACAGAATTGATGAGTCTTTATCCACTTGTCAAAGCTTTTGTAGATACTATTGTGAATGATATGAATGTCGATTATGAAACCGATGGATTTGATGACGGTTTCAGTTCATCAGAGCAAGATATGTACAGTGAAGATTATGACAATGATGAAAGCCAACAAATTAAAGATTCTAACAGTCATGAACAATGTGATTGTGACGTCATTCCACCTAGACGAAGCTATCGTCGTCAAAGTTTACAAGCCTCAGATTTCAGCGTGCGTCAACGACGTCCAAGAATTGCTTCACGTGGCATTAGACGACGCAGAGGTGGTGGTGCTAGGGCAATGAAGCTGTCTGCCTCTCTCAACAGCAATCCTACTCGACGGTCGAAACGAGTGATTAAAGCTCCTCGTCGTCCGTATGATGACTTTGAAAATGTTGACTATTATGATTATGAGTTAGACAATGATGAATTTGATAGAATCGTGGAAGAAGAAGAAAAAGGCGAAGAAGACGAAGGAGATCCACGACCTTCTGACGTTGAGTCGGAAAATGAAAATCAAACCAATCCCCTGAGAATCATAAATATCGAAAAGATTTCTTCCTATCCAAGACATTAAAACGTCCCTATCAGGCAATGATTGATTCACATTCTAATTCAGATAACTGTGATCGATACTTATCGCCTAGTATTGATGCTGACTATGAGAGTTCGAGGCTGATGATAATGCAGACGACAGTTATCATCATCGATACAGTGATTCTGCAATACAACTGAGTCAAATAAAATCGCGTAAATCATCATCAACCACCTATGAAATAAATAATGTATGGACTACTGTGATGAAATGTTCAGTGAATAGGCGGAAAATTCATGAATCTATAGCTACAGAAGACTGCCACAGTACTTACCTTGAACATAATCGAACAAAGGAGAAAGATTTAGATAATAGTATCGTGAATTATGAAGAAGAAGTGGTTGAAGAGCCTCTGGAACAACAACAACGCAGGTTAGTTGTTTTTTTCCATTTTATTTATTCTACGGAGTTTCTAGGAAGAATAAGTTCGTTTGCTATGCGAAAAGGAACGATGTATGGCTTTTTTTAATGATAAAACTAATATTTACTCAACCACAAGCTCAATTTAGTCGTAACAACACAGTGTGTAGAAGAATAAAAGGAGAGCGTGTAGACACTAAAATAATTTTTTTAGATAGGCATTCGTATTAGACAGATTATTCAGGAAAGCCTCTATCACTTGGCATTCATTTTGATGATGACAGGTTTAATAATGACTTTAGCCCCACTGTTATCATTATTACTTTTTTATTCCTTTACGTTCCTAGTGGAACATAGGGCTTCAGGCTAGAAGCCTGAGCTTTCTGTAGCTGTGGTGTTTATTACTTTTACGGGATGAGGTTGCTAACCTCATACCCAACCTTCTCCAGTCTTTACAAGTCTAATTACTGACTTAACGAGGTAAAGAAGTGCATCGCCCGGGGATCGAACCTCGGACCACATGCGTGGTTGGCGAACATTCTACCACTGTGCCACCGACGCACCCACTATTATTATTAGTATTAATTCCTTTACGATGTCAGCGTAACATAGAGCTAGAGCTTCAAGGTAGAGCTTTGAAGTTTCAGTAGAGTGGTGCTTATTGCCTTTACGGGATGGAATTGCTAGCCCTATGCCCAACCTTCGCTCTTTACCAGTCTTATTACTGGCTTAGCGAGGTCTGGTAGTGCGTCGGACGGGTATCAAGCCCCGAACCACGCGAGCGTATGCCTCTGACGCACTCCTTCAGCCCCACAGTTATTTTTGTTCGTTGTTGGAATCATCCATTGATGATTCATTAATCCCACCCCACCATATATCTTTAATTACAAAACTTGGTTTCAGTTACTCTGAAGCAGATTTTAGGATATCGAAGAATGAACGACAGTAGTAGCTGACATTTGTGCAACAGTCTGTCTGTTTTCGGCGTAGAACTTTACACCGATGTACAGCAGTTGAAGTCGCCACACTCTATGCAGCACACAGAGCAAGAGAAGAAAGTAGAAGAAATGCATAATAGAGACAGTAACCAGAGGTGTGAGACAAAGGAATAGTAATAACGAAAAACAATATAGTTTCATTGGAGATTATAAGTCACAAGGAGTGGATGCATCTCCGCCAGCCATTGAGAACAATTTTGAGCCATATCACCGATTGTCTCCAGCCATTAGTGTTTACTGTCCCGAGGACCCCAACCAGTGAGAAAGTCTACCCTTCCCTACGTGGCTAGCTTAAACAAACTGTTGTCGATTTTATTGACTGATGAAGCCATGTTTCGGTTTGACCACAGCTAGCTCCTTTCCAGTCTGACCCTATGTCAGCTAACATTGCCTGTCAGTCGATGAAGGCGATGGCTAGAGGAAGCATACGTACCACATGTCCTAACTATCTCAGTCGATGTATTTTCACTGCCTCGTCGATTGATTTCCCCTCCCCCCTTACCTAGAACTGGACATCTAATCTCAATATTGCTCACCCTATTAGAACGCAAACATATATGATCAAAGGTAGCCAGCCTATTCGTATCTTCCACTTTCAATGGCCATGTCTCAAAGCCGTAAAGGAGGACAGGGCGAACTGCTGAGCAGTACACACTCCTTTTGGTCGATAACCAACCAGATATCACGTCTACTAAGCCAGAGATGGAGTGAACTGGCATATGCAAAACTAACCCTCTGTATCCGTGTTGAGATTTCGTCAGAGATCAACCCGTTGGCGTTAGCTGATACAACTTCCAAAATAAGTGAAGTGGTTAACACGCTCCACCAACCACTTCACTGCTGCCTATCTTTAAGCTAGCAGTGAGTCGACGTAGTCGAGTCCTGTAGCATCATCTTACATTTAACGAGAGCGAATCGCATGTGAAACATTCACAGATTGTCACTCAGTGTGTTCAGGACACTGCATTTTGTCAGCGGCTCTACTTAGGATTATATCATCTGCATATTCTAAGTCAACGGGATTATTTCCTGGTGGTAACATTTCAATCCATGAGTCGTTCAGTTAAGTTAGGGTTAAATCCATCAGTACATGTACGATGAAACTGAATAGAAATGGGGACAGTGGCCATTCCTGACTGACGCCACTGGTTGTCAACATCTCAGATGACAATTCTCCGTAAACTGTTACCGGGTTGCATGAGTTCGAGTAGAGTGCCTTGATCATTGCAATGTATTTTCTCAGCAAACCCTTCACAGCGAAGCATCGCCATAGTACCTCTCGGTCGACAGAATCGAATCCGCCTTTAGGTCAAGAAATATAACGATTGTTGGACGCTGCCGATAAGCATGCCTATGTACCAGAATCGAAGGGTGAAGATATGATCAATACATCTTCTTCCTGGTCTAAACCCTGCTTGGTTCTCTCGTGTTTGTTCTTCCGAGTACCCCAATCTGCGCATGATTATCGAGCCTCAAACTTTAGATACCATATTGGTCAAGCTAATCCCCCTGTGATTATCACTGGAAGACTTGTCGCCCTTCTTGTGTATCAGGATAATCAATGACACATCATCCTGACGGGACTTCTTCTGATTCCCAGATGCTGCCTAATACCTGAGTTAATGCAGGCAGTAAACTGTCTCCACCGTCCTTAAACAAACTGTAGGATCATTCCATCAGGTCCTGCTGCTTTGCCTCGTTTCAGACTAGTGACAGCCTTAGTGACCTCAGTCAGGGACGGAAGACCTGTGTTTATATCCTATTCAGGGAGGTTTTGAATGCTCAGTAGGTTGAGGGTGGCCGTAGGCCAATTAAATTGCTTCCCAAAGTGTTCTTTCCAACGTTCCAGTCATCTATTCTGGGAGTTAATTGTGGTGCCATTTTTCTCAGGGATTGTTTTACTTTTCATTTGCTCTTCACCACCTGTTTCCCTGATAAGTCTAAATAGGTTACATAATGTCTCTCTCTTTGCCTAACTTTGGGTTTTAGGTTACAAGCAGTCTTTACAGCTGTGTCTACACACTATGTGTTGTGCCAGCCAGGCTTCCTGAGGAGGGGTCTTTCTGTTGACCTCAGATACTCGTTTCATTATTTCTTCCTTAAATAGGGAATCAGTGTCTTGATCTACTTGGGGGCGTAACCGCTTCGCTGCTAAGAATCTTTTTTGTCTGTTTAGTCGTAATCATAAACGTGCACGGATCAGGGCGTGATCAGAGTCTACGCACGTGTTCCAGGAGCGGCAGTCTTCTACTGACCCTCGCCAACGGCACCTTACCGCTATGTGGTCTCTCTGAGTCCAGCGTTGATTTGGTGATGGAGGTCGCCAGGTTACGCAGTGTCTCTCTTTGTGCCTAAAGTTAGTGCTGACCAGGAACAGGATTATCTAAACAGAACTGCAGATTATCACCGTTGTTGGTTCGTTGGTGGGGAACTACGTAGTTACCACCTACATACTTCTCAGTCTGGCCTAACTTCCCTATTTGGGCATTGATTTAGCCTGCTAAAACAACTATAACCAAGCTCTTTGCTTTACGCAGCAAACTAGACAGCTTCTGGTAGAAACTATCTCTTAGTTCATCCGAACTGCAGTCGGTTGAAGCGGAAGCGGAGACTATAAAAAGACAACGACGGGTAACGCCGTCCTTCCTTTTAGCCGACCTGCCCAGACAAACTGCATACTATCTACTGGGACCCAGTCGAGAAATGATTTTTCTTCTCTAACTCTCAGTACTATCTCCTACACCTGCGAGTCTTCACGAACTAGCTGAGGAGTCTCTTGACACTTATAAGGTGACTTTGGCAGATACACCTTGTTGGCCTGGTGGGGTTAAGGGAATAACCACACTGATTTCTTGTATGCGTGTCTTCGAAACACGCTATACATCCATGGCTCGAGATACCAGAGTTCTGGCTAGCGGTGCCTATTGCCCGATTTAGCAGAGGGTCCTGACGTTAAATGCTCCTATATGAAGTCGGCAACGTGGCTTTAAGAGGCTATCGGGAGTGTTTTTCTGGCTCTCATCGTTATTTGTGGTCACCGAATGAAATGAAGATGACTGACTAGCCTGCAGAATAGTACCGACTGTAGTAGGAAAGTAAGATGAAGGTGGTGTTGGTGAAGGAGAATGATGCTTAGGAAGGCTTCGTGGGCTATTGGAAGTGTGTGGGCGATTGTTGCTTCCCGGCTGCTTACACCATGGAAGTTGATTGATTCGTGAGGTAGCTGAAACAAAGAGAATTAGTGTTGCATGGCAGCAGAGCCCAGGGGACAACTGCTTGAGGCCAGTCGGTCATACACCGTCTGCCTGAACTGGCTCTCTGGTTTGGTTCCGTATTAGTAAATTATTGCCACCTACGGACCACCGTACGGTGGGGGATGTACAATTGTTGGAGTCGACCTTTTCTAACCCCTTCTCTCCAGAGTGGAGAGACAACATAGCTGGCATGTTCATCTGAGGGAAACACCTTACTGCTGTTACATCCCTATTCCCCAGCAGTACTTCACCCGCAGACCCCTAACAGTCTTCCTGGCATGGTAGGACCTGTAGGAACATCAGTCTCAACAGTGAAGTTTATTGGGTCATTGCGATATGCAAGCTCGACCATCACGTCAAGGTAGCAGCTATCGGGCGGGTAGGTGGTCTTCGTGTGGTTGGGTACTCAGAGCCGGGAGGTGTCCTGTAGAGTTAGTCTTCACAAATGATGCTTTCACTAGTGTTAACTAATTAGTCTTGCCTGGATATAGATACGTCCACTCCACTGTTCAATATGGTTGAAGTGTGATCATTGTTCTCGAACACTTTCGAGACTCATGAGTGGTTGTTCTTAATGTGTCACTCTCATTCCACTTGTTAATTAAAAGTCCTGAAAAGCTAGGTACTGACGATTGGTTTATATGGATGAATATTAACTTAATAAGTGAGAATAATCGGGGATTGAAAATTTCTGAAGATTCTGTTTCCGACCACTTTATTGAGGTCGGAAATATAGCTGTAATGTGTTAAAGTTTATTTCAACAATTTCTAGTTGTTGACTAATCTAATACTTCTGTTGCTGTTGAATTAGACCAATAAGTTAACATGTAACGTGAACGGAAGTTGCGCATTATTTCACTGATGTAATTGATTTTCTTAGGGTTAAACACATATAGTATTTAAGCTGTTACGTCTTTTACAAGAATAGGAGCCTAAGTCCCCTTGTGAAGTTCCAACTATAAAGTAAAAGAATTCATTCGACACTATACAGCGACCTAGTGTATTGCTCATTATCGTAAACAGGTACAACTGAACACAGAAGTACTCTGTTAAATATTTTGTACCACTCTTTTTTTTATCCTTTTTGGGTTCTCAGTAGACCATAGGGCTTCAAACTAGAGGTTTGAAGTTTCGGTAGCAGCGATGTTTATTACTTTTACGGGATGGGTTGTTGGCTTCATGTCCAACCTTCGCTCTTTACCAGTCTTATTACTGGCTTAGCGAGGTCTGGGAGTGCGTCGGTGGCCGGAGGTCGAGCCCCGACCACATGAGCATGGTTGGTGAGCATTCTATCTCTGTGCCATCAACACACTCTATCACTCATACTAGTCATCAACAATAACTTCTCCATAACGTATTCTAATGTTTGCAGTTACTGGATAAATATTTTATTCATGTATGTAGTAGATCATAAACTACGTTGTGTTTGATATTGAACTGGCTATGATGGCATCCAGTTACTCAAACTGGAGTAATCCCGAAGGAGTTTCAGATCAGGATCGGTGACAGTGAGGACTGGACTACACTGACTCCTAGTTTGGAAATAGGGAGTGAAGTGGTAGAGCACACTGACCACTTCACTTATTTGGAAGATACCATCAGTCCCAATGGGTTTGATCTCTGGCGGAATCTTAGCAAGAATACAGAAGGTTCGTTTCACATATTCCAGTTTACGCCGTAGACGTGGTATCCGGCTATCGATCAAATGATGTGTGTACTGCTGCTTCGTCGTCCTTTATGGCTGTGAGTGGGATATAGCCATTACGAGTCGAAGACATGAAAAGCGTGGTTAGCTCTCTTTGATCATGGTTGCCTGCATTCTAGTTCCCGTGTGAAGTGGTATAATAGGGTGAGTAATATTGAGGTTAGGCGTCGGTCGAGTGCTAGGTAAGGAGAGGAAATCAATCGACGAGGTTGTGGAGCTACATCGACTGAGATGGTTAGGACATGTGTTACGTATGCCTAGTCATCGGCTTCCTCGACTGACAGGCAATGTTAGCTGACTAACATAGGATCAGGCTAGAAAAGAGTAAGCGGCGGTCAAACCAAATCATGGCATCAGTCCATAAAATCTACAGCAGTTAGTTGAAGCCAACCAGTCACGTTAGGAGGTGTAGACTTCCTGATTGGTTGAGGTCCTCGGGATGGTAAAAACAAATGGAGGCTGAAGACAATTGGTGATATGGCCGAAAATCGTCGTTCTCAATGGCTTGTGCGAATGCATCCACTCCTTGTGACTTATAATACCTAATGAAACTATATGGTTCTTCGATATTACTATCCTTTTTGCCACATATTCCTGTCTACTGTTTCTATTATGCAATTCTTCTATTTTCTTCTCTTGCTTTGTGTGCTACATGGAGTGTAGCGACTTAAACTTGTGCACATCTGTACAAAGTTCTATGTCAAAAAAACAGACAAATAATGAGGTTAGCTACTTAAATTAATATGTCATATTAATCGCGTAAAGAGCTACAGAAATTAAATGTATGTTTAACTTTAAATTAGCATATATGCAATCTTTAGGTAGAATAATAATAGTCATAAACGGAAACTCATTACTTCATTCATAATTGCTTAGATAAAAGTGCATGGATTCACTCTTGTAACTTAACTAATAATTCATCGATTTTTTAAGTCTGTTTGTTTCAAGTTTGATTAGAGATTGTGATCAGTTAGAGAATCATTGAGTCCGGGTTCCAATGATTGATAAACGAACTACAAGCTTGTCTTGTATAACTGGTAGTAGGTCTTGGATTCGAACCCCTATGGGGTGCATATTGCCGATCGGTTGGAGACTAGAACTAAAAAAGCTGCCCAGTATACTCCCTGATGGTTTCCAATGTTTCTCTAAGTGATATCAATCTGTTGCCACACTGGAAACATATCAAGTCCCCCTAGAAACTAACTCTTAATAATAATAGATTGTAATTACGCTTTTATTTTCGCGTTTTTATTAATGAATTTTTTTTTTAAATTTCTTTTTGCATTAGTGAACAAACTGCCGTTGATGCAGCTCATCTCTTAATGGGTATGAGTCAGATACAAAGTTTCAAAAAACAATCAGGTTGTGTTAATCTAGACTCGAGTGAAGACAGTTCACTGACAGAGTCGACGATGACGCTTAGCTTGGAGACAACATCCTAGTGAAGCACCACCACCGCCAAAACCTCTTCATCAAGTTTCAGAAGCTATACATTGAAATTATACACACACACACACACATGTATGTTGTGGGAAAATAGTTAGCCTTACCTTGTACATAAAGTTACTGGAATAATGACTTATGAATTTGTCGCTTTCAGGGTAACACCTCTACATACACTTCTAGTCTCTTCTGGGTCGCTTTTATTTAGGCGACTCCACTTCAACCCATGACACCAACCGACCACCACCATCCCCACCCCCCGCGGTCGACCTTATTGTGGTGTTCACCTCAATTGCAATATATATATATTTAGTTAATTTTGTTTCCGTTGATTTGTTACTTTAGAAATTTCGCGCCCATTTATTAATTAATTGTTAGATGCTGTATTTGATTTACTATTACTGCTATTACTTCTACTACGTGTGTTGCTTGTTTGTTTGTCTGTTTGCATATTATTTCCTTTTGCATTAGGACTCTCTATAGATTTAAAATTAAAAAAATGTTCTCACCCCTTTTTGTTTTATGCCTTCCTCTCTTTCTCCCTCTCTTCCCTCTTTTATCGTGCAAATAATTTGTAGTCTACCCGGCATTTGTATTCTACTATTTATTATTATTATAACAGTTTTACTAATCATTATTACAATGAAAAAACAACAGTCGCAACAATACCCAGCAACGATATAAACTTTTGTTCAGTATTAACAAACACATGAAAAAGGTTTTGTTTGTACGTTTGTTTGTTTTTGCCTTATTTTTTCTCCCTCTCTGTTAGAATGTTATTTTTCCCCTCTCTCTCTTTTGTTTTTGCGTTTTTTTCTCTCTCTCTCTCCAAAAATATTTGTGCAATCATTCTTAGTCGTTAATTTGTTCATGTTCTGTTGAATGAAGGTGTGGTGGCGGCGGCAACAGCGACGACGACAGGAGGAGAAGCAGAAGGAGGCGTGTTCTCCCCCCTCTTTGTTGTGTTTTTATAATATTACCTAAATGATGATGTCGAAACAGTATTGCATGCAGAAAGAAATACACCATGTCATGCCACTCTATATTCGTGTATTATCACAACTTAACAAATATATTGGTTCTTTTTTCTCTCTTCCTCTCTTTTTTCATTTGTTGCTGTGTTCTTCCGGTTATTTTTTTTTTTGTTTTTTGGAAGCGCATTTTGTTGAAATACTCTTGTTATTTACCTATTTTTTTCTGTGTTTTGTCATACCCTCTACCGATTACATTTGACTACTCCCTCGCCTCGTTGCCGCCTCCTTCCACCCGAAGTTTTCCTACAGAGATGCAATGTTCTACACTTTCACTGTTTAATAATTCGTAAATCATCTGTGAACAAATACTACTGATGATGATATGTGCAGTATTATTTGTATAAAGTTTTGAAAAAGTTTATTAATTTGAGTTATTCGAAAAAATAAAAAAGACTGTTGATTGAGTTCTGTTGTTTTTGTTGTTGTGGGTTAGGAGCTCGTCTATTATCTGTGTGTCAGGTTGTAGGACTAGTCGGACACAGGCCTCTAGCTTGAAGTTTCCATAGCAGCGGTGTTTATTACTTTTACGAGATGGGGTTGCTAGCCTCATGCCCCCCCCGCAACCTTCCCTCTTTACAGACTTTTACTTCTGGCTTACCGAGGTAAAGGAGTGCTTCGGTAGCCGGGCTATGTTCATGGTCAGCTTTGAAGTTTCAGTAGGAACGGTTTTATTTCCACGAGGTAGGGTTACTAGCCTCACTACCGACCTAGCAAGCTTTAGGAGTGCGCTGCCGGATCGAACCCCAGACCACGAGGGTGGTTGACGAGCGTTCTGCCGCTGAGCCAACCACCAACGCGACACTACCACATACAGCGCACTAATTCAATGACATTTTGATAAAAGATCAGTCATACATCAGTGTTGTCTAGTTTCAGTAGAGTGAGTGATAAGTGGTTATTCCAAAGCATGGTTTATGCCATTCAGGACAGTGTAGGTTGCCTAACGAGGGTGCTCGATATATACGTTATAGTAGTTTCGTAACGTTCCTGTTTTTTGTTCCGCCTATGTGTGCTATTTATGATGTGCGAAAACTTGAACTGGCAGTATGTTTGGGCGAAGTCAATACGACCTAGGCGGATACTTCTATTTGTACCTAACAAATGAGTGAGGATACAAGCTATTACGAGGCAGTGTGAAGTGGTATATTAGGGTGAGGAATACTGAGGTTAGGGTTCGGTCGAGTGCTAGGTAAGGAGGGAGGGGGGATCAGTCGACGAGGCTGTGAAGCTCCATCGACTGAGATGTTTAGGACATGTGTTACGCGTAACTAGCCATCGCATTCCTCAAGCAACCGGCAATGTTAGCTGACATAGGGTCAGTCAAACCAAAACATGGCACCAGTCAATGAAATCCACAACAGTTAGTTTAACCTACGTAGTAAGGTGAAGACTTCCTGGTTGGGGTCCTCGGGACGGTAAAGACCAATGGCTGGAGACAATCGGTGATATGGCTCAAAATTGTTCTCCATGGCTGGCGGAGATGCATCCACTCCTTGTGACTTATAATCTCCAATGAAACTATACTGTTCTTCGTTATTACTATTCTTTTGCACCGTACCTCTGTTTATTGTCTCTATTTTGCGTCTCTTCTCTTGCTTTTTGTGCTACATGGAGGGAGTGTGGTGACTTGAACTACTGCTGAACATCGGTGCAAAGTTCTCTGTCGAAAACTGAGAGACATTGTGAGGCATTTTCGTGCATGCTATGCACAGCAAATACTGTCAAAGATATTCCCTCCTAGCGGTGTGTGTAAAAAAGTGCTGGTATAACAAACAACCTTTGAAGACAGTCAAATATAACATCTGATAAGAAGATAGATAGATGAGAGAGCATTCCTCTCTAGGCATATAATACAAAATACAACCTTAACTGAAGAATTTGTAGCTGTAAGTGATCGCCGCCTCTATTCCTAGATCTATCTATACTGACACGAAATCGTGGAAAGTTTTTAATTTCCAGTAACTTATATCCTAGCCCACGCAAATTAAGTGGATAACACGTACATCGACGAGTCTTTCGTTCAGAGATTATTGTCTATCATATGAGTGGAACTATAAAAACTCCACCACTATGTCAAACCGACAGAAGAATGGCAGGTGTGTGAGTAAATATGCATTTTTCCTTTTTTTAAAAAATAACCACATACAAATGAATTTACAATTTTCATGAAAAGTGTTTGTAAATAATATTTTAAAAAAATTAATCACACACACACACACTTAGAAGACGGTTGCATCTCGACTCCATAGTTTATAAGTTAAATCATGTGAACAAGTTGCAATGTATTTATTATCCGGTGATATATCCGCGTATACCACTTTACTATTGTGTCCTTCAAGTGTTTTGATTGGCGCCCAAATAGGATGACCCCAAAGTTTAGCTGTTTTATCAAATGAACTAGTAACAAGGTAATTCGAATTCCGAGCTATAAAAAAAATAAAATAAAATATGTGATGTAAATACAATCGAAGAGTATACTCAGAATATCAGCAGAGGTCGTCGGCCCGCTTACAAAAATAGAATTATAACATCATTCAAAAACACTAGATGGAAAGTCTATGGGAAGACTTGTCAATGACTTGCACCACCAACCCGACGGGACTTCCTCTGATTCCCAGATGCTGCCTAAAACCTTAGTTAAGGCAGAGAGTAAACTGTCTTTACCGTCCTTAGACGCCTCTAGTACAATTCTCCAACAGGTCCCGCTGCTTTCCTCGTTTCAGACTAGTGGTAGCTTTTTAACCTCAGTCAGGCAGGGACGCACGACCTGTGTTTATATCCTATTCAGGGAGGTGTTGAATGTTCAGTAGGTTGAGCATGGCTGTAGGCTAATTAAATTACTTCTCATAGTGTTCTTTCCAACGTTCCAGTCGTCTGTCCTGGGAGCTAATTGTGGTGCCATTTTTCTCAGAGATTGTTTTACTTATCATTTGCCACCTGTTTCCCTGATAAATCTAAATAGGTTACACAATGTATCTCTTTGTGCCTAAAGTTAGTGCTGACTAGGAACAGATGATTATCTGAACAGAACTGTAGAAGACGATCACCGTTGTCGGTTCGTCAGCAGGGAACTCCATACGTACCACCTACATACTTCTCAATCTGGCACAACTTCCCTATATCTGAACGTTTTGCTTTTCGCAGCAAATTAGACAGTTTCAGGTAGAAGTCATCCTTTGGTTCATCCGAACTGCAGTCTCTTGGGGTCTTAACCCCGCTGTGCCACCGACACACTCTAAATAATTAGTCTTCTAAAACACAACACTTAACAGAACACAAGGATGCCGAACAATAATGACTGATAACGCATAAAATACCCATTAAAAATTTTTTCAAAGGAATGGAGACTGAATAAAGAATACTCTTTTCGACAACCCGCTCTTCATCATCAGGCTCTACAGTGATATATGCATCCATAATAGTGAATGAATGAATTAGTGTTATGAACAACATTAATGTCGTTGTTTAAATAATACCGAATCAATAATAATAGTAATATCAAAGGATTACAGTTTCAATATACCTAGCAAAATAATTACGAAGAAGTTAAGGAAATCAGTTCAAAGAACTCTAAATGCTAGCAAACTATAAGTCTTCTTTTCTACACGACCGATGGTGAATCCGTAATTGAAAGATGAAGTACTTAGACTAGCTAGGCACTTTTATTAATTGTATCTACCGATTCAACTGCGCTTGTGGTGGAGCGAATTATATTGGTTGTCACTCTAGGCACTTGATTTTTCGTGCTCTCTCGGGAACATTTACCAGTGTGGCTAAGTGAAGGTGTAGTGGCAAGCATCAATAGCTCGATAGTAGACCATTAACATTTCTATATTGAACCATCTGGTCCAAACCGGCCACAAAGCTAATATTGAGGAGTCCTTCTCTATTATAAACCGAGTACCAAATAAACTGCCAAGAACACCCAGGTGCCGCGTACTCCAAACAGCAGAGGCTATCGCGATTCGCCTTAAACAAACGGTGCTCTGTGTGAAGAAGAAGCAAGTCCAGTTAGTCACTACTACTGCCCTGGCCCTCGGTAAAGACTATAAATTCATGAACTTGTAATATTATCTTTCCTAATTTTTCTGACATTCAGCTTATTTTATGTTGATGCTATTGAAGTGTAATCTATTGATATTATTGATTCGATGTTATTTAAACAGCATTAATGTTGTTCTCTATCTCAAATTCATCGACTTTGAAAAGGCCTTCAGCAGATAGCGTCGATCGAGAGGTGATTTGGAAACTACTTCGCCACTACGGAGTGCAGCCAACATTTATACATCTCATCCAACAGTTGTACGACAACTCTGCTTGCCAAGTAATCCACAACGGAAACTTACGGAATCCTTCGAAATAAAAACGGGAGTAAGACAAGACTGACTATTATCCCCAAAGATTTTCCTGATTGCAGCAGATTGGATAATGCGACAGACAGCGAGCGGGGAAGCGAGGAAATAGACATAAAATGGACTCACACAAAAAACTTGGAGGATCTGGACTTCGCCGATGATATATGTCTGATTTCTCAGAAATTTGAAGATACGCAAGTGAAAAGCAACAAGTTGAGAGAAGAGGCATCCAGAGAAGATAGGACTTCAGGTCAACATATAGAGAACAGAGGTGATGATGAAGATTCCTGGCCAACAGCAATGACAACAGACAACAATCAGGATAAATAGAAGGAATCTGAAAGAAAAAAACTCCTTTACCTACCTGGGAAGCATCGTTTCAACTACAGGGGGACGGAACTAACGAGAATATCAAAGCACGGATCAGGAGAGCATGACAAGCTTTCATCACTCGGAAGTCTGTTTGGAGATCAACAGCATTGCTCACCATGAAAAATAAGACCCGAATTTTCAACTCCAATGTGAAGTCAGTGCTACTATACGGATCAGAGACTTGGCGAGTCATAAAGAGCATCTCAAACAAACTTCAGACCTTCATCAACAGCTGTCTCCGCTCAATACTACTCAAGATCAGATGGCCAGAAAGGATCAGCATTAGGGACAGAGAGAACTGAACGCAATGGAGACTTGGGCGGCTGAAGCCCTATGTTCCCTAGGAACTAAAGGAAATATTAATGTTGTTCATAACACTAATTCATTCATTCATCCACTATAATGCATATATAACTGTAGAGTCTGATAATGAAGAGCAGGTTATCGAAAAGAATATTCTTTGTCCAGAGTAAGCATTCTCTTGAAATGCATAAATCATTTAACAAACAAAACAACACAATGAACTTACATTCAAATCGTACACTGCTTACAACACTCGTATGCGCAGGTATTACATAGATCGCCTGCTGTTGACGTAAATCCCATATACGCACTGTATTATCAGCACTAGACGTCGCTGCATGATACCCATTATCCGCGATATCTGCACCTAACAACTCTTCAAGATGACCTTCTAAAAACATAATACATCGACCAGTTCGTAGATCCCAAACACGTGCATAACCATCCAACCCGGTGGTTAGGGCTAATGAACCGTCTGGATGAAAGACAACATCATAGACAGGTTTAGAATGACCTTCTTGATGGAGAATTTCTTCGCATACATCTAAATCCCATAAACGCCATGAATGATCAAAACAGGTTGTAGCTAAAAAACGTCCAGATGGATGAAATGCTATACGTGATACTCTGTGCGGTGCATGTCCTTCAATATCAGCTAATGGTTCTTCACTATCTAAACTCCATAATTTAACACTACCATCCTAAAAAGATCAATAATGGGGAAGTATTATTATTATTATATTCGATTAAAATTTTAAAAAATATATACTAAATTTTAAATGATCAACCTTCAGTTTATTTATTATTATTATTATTCATGCATGTATGCCACTTCTGCAGCAAGTCTATAAATTGAAGAAAGATATCTCATGGACGTCTTCCAAAAGAATGGATATCTACGGAATTTCACCCCCAAGCCGCTAGCCTATCAAGTCGAACGCCCCAAAGGAAAGCACAAAGAAAATCGTTTTACCATATACATAAAGGATATCTTAGAAATCACTACGAGACTCTTTAAAACTTAATGGATTGACGTCGCACACAAATCAGCAAAATCAGTTCACTTAACCAGTCGGCCAGACCTTTGTCAACCAAAAGACTCAACAGTGAACGAAAGAAGATAAAACCAACATCATCTACAAAATAAATTGTAACAACTGCGAAAAACACTACATTGGCCAAACAGGGACGTCCCTGCTGTTCGTCTTCGCATCCACAAACATAAGCTACCCGTCAAAAGACACGATATCCACTCCCTCGCTGATATCACTGCATACAGACAACCACAGACATCAATTCGACTGGGACAACCAACGTTCAAATATTAGACACAGGAAACACCAAGAATGCTAGCCAGAGAATTTTTAGAAGCCTGGTATTCGCATGAATTGTCAATCAATAGACACATCGAGATAGACTAAATTTACCAATTGATAAGAAGGAAATCTTACACACGTGCAGGGTCAAAGTTCAAGTCAAGGAAACAATCAGTTCCAAATACAAGTAGCCTAGAAGGTGTGAAAACACATAAAACAACCAAAGAGTCACGTTCAGGGTGGTCACCAGGACAGATGACTAATAAACTCGTGGAGAAATCTGAAAAGCTCACTTCAATTCAAATTGAAGTATGAGCTGAAGATGTTTCCTAGTAGGGCAATAATGAAATCTTCGCAAATTAACTAACTATCCAGCTAGCTCAGAGAACACAACCACATCGAAATCATCCACCCCCGAGTTACGAATCTTCTCCATCATATCTAAGCCTATAAGCAGTCCGTTAACACTGTCTGACTACCTGCCTACATCGAGAGAGAAGACATATCGGCTTCACGAAGACTTTCACCAGCTCGCGTCATTCTGTCTCTTCGACTCCAGCGAAGAATAAGTTTGTTTGTTTTTTTCACATTTTTGTGCCTTGAAGTCTCTATAGCGATTGGATTGATTTTCAGGGATAGGGTCGCTAGCCCCATTCTTAACCCTCTTTCTTTTCCTCGGGCTTAGGCTAGGCTAGAAGACTGGGAGACTAGTAAACTGAGATGGAGTTAAACTAACAAATACTGAGGTACTATCAGTCTAAAGTTTGTTACATCTTATCGTACATGTAACGTTTCTTAGGGGTCGCTACCTTGACGTGGTGGTCGGGTTTGAACACCGCAATGATCTATTCAAGCTATACTGGCTGAGACTTATGTCTCTTGAGGTACTACCATGTCAGGCAGGTTGTTTGGATAGCGGTTAAACAAAAAGCAGCTACCCAATCCAACATCATGTCCAATACAAAATTACAAAATTTCATGCCGGATCGGCCGTGGCCCGAATTAACAACGACCGCGCTTCCTGCTGCCGTGTCACAGGGCAGGAGTGATAAATCTGCTACTGAGACACACCAAACAAAAAAGAACGAACAAAAACAGGCCGCGTGTGACCGGCCTCAAGCAGTTGTCCCCTGGGCTCTGTGGTCACGCAACCAACTTCCACGGTGTGGGCAGCCGGGAAGTAACAATCGCCCTCACAATCCGAAATGCACACGAAACCTCTCTATTACTCACTCATCTTTGTCTTCATCTTCATCTCTATCATCTTGCCTTCCTTCCACTGATGCAACTCCTCGATTTGATAGCTCTCCACTTCCTCTCCAATCTGCGTCCACTAAAAACGATGGAAGTCAAAAAACCACCACCGACAGACAGGGGTCGCGTTTATGGAGGTTTTAATTGATTGCCGAATGGCTTGCAGACATCCTCCTACCTATCAGGAATAATCTCTGGAAGCATAGTGTTTCCGATTCATTTGAATTTGTCGATTCAATAAGTGATGCTAATGTATCCCTTTCCACCAATGTTCCCCTCACTGGAACTATTTGCTTTTTATGCAAATTCATTGAGGACAATAATGTAGACGTGTGTGTTCCGATCCACTACTTAAAGGAACTACTACTATTGAGATGCAGTTTAAATGTCCAATTCAAGTTCAACAACACGCTTTATAGACAAAGAGATGGAGTGGCAATAGGGTCACCATTGGGTCCTTTACTTGCAGATTGCTTCTTGGCAAGTTTGGAGAATAGTGTGCTACGGCCTACTATCGATAGATTTCATTTGTACCAAGGATACACGGATGATACCTTCATCATATGTGACGACAATACCGACATCGAATCGATAACTAAAGAGTTCAACAGCTGCCATTATACCATCCAATTCACCTCGGAATTCCATTTTTTGGATGTTTTTCTAAAAAAAGGAGATCTGATGGTTCTCTTCAAAGATTGATCTACAGGAAACAAACATGGAATGGTCAGTACATAAATTTTCATAGTTGGGTCCCTTTGAGAAAAAGAGAAATCTGATCCACTCCTTATCTTCAAGAATAAGGAGGACATGTGCCAGTGATACAATCGATGGGGAACTGGGGCGAATCAGACAAGTCTTCATAGAGAATGGATACCATCTAAGATTTATCGATAAGGGAATGGCCTGAATGAACCCAGACTGTGCCGAAGAAACTGTTATTTATGAGTGTTGAATTTAAAGGTGATATTGGAGCTGAGATCCTGGAGAATCGTTATTCAGGTAACTGAGAAAAGCCTTCTTTATGACTGAGCTACGGTATCAATTTCTACAGCCGACTAATGATCAATGGATGTGTGAAGGATAAACTACCGCTTTGAGCCAGTTCAATGTGTGTTTATAAATTCACCTACTAGTGTGGAGATAGTTATATTGGCCGCCTGCACAAAGCGTACGCTTTCCAAACGCATCTCTGAACATTATCCGGCATGGTTAGCGAAAGGACAATGCAAGACAATAACTAGCTCAATTCTCGAGCACTTGGTGAACCCAGGCCACATAGCTCCACCAGAGTCGTCTTTCAAGATCATCTACAACATGAGGCCAAATGCTACAAAGGGCGTCAACTTTCAGCTTTTGTGTATGGCGGAGGTGCTGGTGATTCGTCAAATACAACTCTGAACTCTGTATACAGGCAAAAAGTTTGTCCAGTCTCTCTCTTATTCTACCTTGGTGTTAACCTCTTCACTAGTGTCGTTCCCTTTAAAAATTTTAATTCTTTTTAAAATTTTCAGTTTACTTTGATTTTAATAATTAATTCACACTCATATGTTCCTTTTGTACATTTTCACGCCCTCTTGAGACTTGTTTAATTGACACTCAACTACCACCACCTTTATTCTCACTCAACAACAATTTTAACCTTATCAAATTTCTAACTTTGTGTCGTCGTTGAGTACCGCGTAATTTACAACTTTTATTATTTTTTTTTTTACTTCTAAAGCCACTTCCTAGTAATTATATCGATTATGTCGCCCTCACCCTATTATTCAATAATAGACTACTATGCACATTTCTGGTAAATATAAATACGACTGTATAGCAGCCTCTGAAGATGATTTCGCCGATAAAGGAAATTTTCTCCGCTGAATTTGCCCTTTATTGTCTTCATGACTCCCCAATGGGTATTTTCAGTGATTTTCCAGTCGTTGTTTCTATACTGAAGATCAGATGACCGGTGGAAAGAATTCTCACCAAGAAACTCTGGGAAAGAACCAATTAAGAGCCTATTGTTCATTAAATACACCGCACAGAAATGGAGATGGATTGGACAAGCTCCGAGGAGACACGGTTGAGTGATACTGAGTATCAGGTTCTCGGTTGGAACTAGAATGCGAAACGACGAGTTGGGTGTGGGTTTGCAGATGTCATGAATGAGACCGTATGAACAGATGAGAGCTAAACGGTAATCGTGGAGTTCAGGTAAAGAGGACTGCGGAGAACAGGACAAAACGGAAATGGGATGCTGAAGTAAAGCCCTGTGTTTCACTTAGAACGCAGGGGAGAAATAGTAGTATGTCTGGAACGACAGAAGGGCCAGGTAACAGATTGTTTATTGAGAAAATCAACAGATATTTATAGATTTTTATGTACATGATCATTCGTTATTGTTAGCAGAGAAGCAATGTCTTTTGATTGGTTGTTTTCCTACTGAAGGTTATTCTGTCATCTGTTTGTTACCACTTTTTAGACAGTCCGGTGATATATCTGCGAATCATATCCACCCAAGCTAAGTCTGCTGTGATTGGTTGATGAGTTCCTCAAGTTTAAGCTTTATTCTTGTTTTTTCTCATGACCAAGATTTGGGAAGTAAACATTGACGTCAGTTGTTGTCTACAACTTTGTCTTGCAGACAGCTCTCACCACATGACGATAACTAGAGTATTTCTGATGTCGTTGCATTTTCTGAGGTAGACGATTTAAGTACCAACCTTTCGTTGTAATTCCAGATGTCTGGTAATAGGAATGCAGCTTCGACTTTAGCGGTTAATATGACAATGACACCAGCTACGCTAGATGCCAACGTCATAGGGTCTTCGGATAAGTACACAGGTGGTACTCGCCATTGGGACTTCAAGATGAAGAAGATAATCGAGCTACCCATCAGTGAGATCTTGAATGAGGGTCTCCGTCATGCAACAAACATGGATAGTGGGGCTATTTAATGTTCTGGTTAAACCTGCCAGTTGTCCAATCTTCATCAGTGTGGGGACAAGATTGATAGCAAGCTTCGGAGTGGTACGCTATTTCATGATATGCGTGTATGATATCCGCACTGGAGATCAACATTTTGGAGGCTATTCATTAACAGATCAAAACGCCAAAGAAAGGTTGAGATTTTGAACAAAGGCGAAAGTCTGACGAAAGTGATGACATCAAAGGTAGTAAAGATGGTAAAAATAGAACACAAATATTTATGCATAAAAGTGTTATTGTAGTCTGTGAGGGTAAGCATACATCTTATACGAATTGTTATCTCATAATCTGTGCCAGGGCTTAAATATTGCCCTACAGCCCGGACTGGAGCAAGTGGTTGTCTTAAGAGTGCACTTCACGAACCTATGGCTGGAAGCCTGATCCACAAGGCAGTGGAGCAGCACCAGGAGCTGTGTTCCCACTGGTTGGCCGTTGATTGGCTGGACCGAAAGGTGTGAAAACACTCGATCACCCCCTGGGGCAGAAGGCAGACACACCCATCCATAGGACGAGTCTTGAATGGGACGAAAAGTACATCCCAATGTCAACTGCTAGCCACCAACCAGCAGATATACAACCGCCATTTTTTTTCAAGTATGTTCACGAATTGGTGTCAGTTAGAGAACCATTGAAAACCAGGTAGTATTGGACACTTATTTCGTCCTAGTTCGCGACTCTTCATCAGTACGTCCATACCGGGGAACGGACTTCCAGTTACGACGCCGAGCTAGTTTACCATTCACTCACTTCAGGGGAGGGGGAGAGGATTCAATAGCCCATGAATTCTAACTTCTGACAATTCGCGAGTTTAGCTCCACCGCCGCCATCCAATATCACCGGAGAGTATTTTGTCCTCACATCCGATCTGGTGGACCCCATCGGTCACAACTTCTCACCAAAACTCCAGGCAACTTCGTGCTGTAACCAGTCATTAGTAGCCATTAGATTAATTTTCACGAGTTAGTTGTTTATATAGGCATATGATTTATTCGACGTTTGTTCACGGATTGATGTTAGTCACAAAACCACTGAAAACCTTCCAGGGAGTACTGAACACTTGTCATTTTCGAAATCAACACAGAAGCATGTAAGGCAATAGTGTTCACAAGAAACATGTACAGGATATAACGAAAATAATACACATCATAAAGAATTTAAAGCCTCTACAGTGCTACTGGATAAAGAAGGAACGTCAGGCACCTTACTCAGGATTCTCAAAAAGACTAGCTAGCATCAGAAGGGCATTGAAACCAACCAACCAACCAACCAACCAACCAACTAAGAGACAAACTTTTTCGACTTAAAAGACCCAATAGATCCAATTAAGAAACGAAAACATAGGTTGCTAAATAGCATACGAAAACTGACTGTGAGATCAGTTACACATAGGGTAACAATTGAGCTAGAATGTGAGTGATCGTGTTAAGTTAAATTGCAAAGTGGTCGCGCTATGTCGTGTGTGAATTGGCAGAAGTTAGAATTCCAAAGACCATTGGATCAGGTCTCAGTGGATGATGAATGGTCTACGAGCTCGCTAGCCTTGTAACCAGAAGGTCCTGGGTTCGAACCCCCGTGTGGTGGGTGCGTACTGATGAAGAGTCCCGAGAACTAGACTGAGGAAACAGCTATCCACTACTCCCAGGTGGTTTTCCAGCGGTTCTCTAACTGATGTCAGCTCATGATGAAATCTTAATCTTGACAGAGGAAACGTTTAATGAGTACTAGAGACGCGTAGAGATACACACACACACACACAGAGAGAGAGAGAGTAGCCACTGAAACTTTGCCCATCGAGTCAATACCAAACAGTTGCAATAGAAATGACGCCACGCCACCCATACCCAGTATACAACGTCACCCAGTTATAAATATAATAATATAAAGATAAGTGGTTTAGCCATAGAATACTCACCAACCACGCTCACGTGATCCAGAGTTCTATTTCCGGCCACAGTACTGATCAGGTAGAACCAGAAATCAGTATAAAATAATATATTCTCGTACAACCAAGTACAGGAACTCAACGATACCATATTTGGCCAGCCCGTGTTCTAAGTGACAGAGACAATGTTAAGCGCGAAACCTATGACTTGCTTTGTTGTTAATAACATAATTTTAGGCTCTTTTATTTCTCTCTTATTTGTATTCTATAGTAAACAACCTTCTTAAATATACTCAGCTACCTAAATTATTAACATTGGCTTACTTACTCTTTTTGTACTTTATTCTATTCCTTCTTTTGTGTATCTACTGGTCCCGACTATATTATCACTATGAGTGTTACAAAATTGTCCTGTCATTAACCATCATGTAATATTATTTTGTGGTTGTTTTTTTTGTTCGGCAATATTAAAACTGACAATCTTGGTTGTGAACGGAATTATCACCATCTTAAAAATTTTGTATTATGCAGGATTACTCACATTACCACTACAAACACCGCATTAGACCTGACCCTGAAATGTTTATTTTAAGATTGTTTAGTGTTGGTTCAATCAAATTAACTGATCATCTTGGCGATAAACATTCTTAAATATCATTTCATAACTTCTAGTATGACTATAGCTTTGCTGTTCACCACGCATAAACATATCATAGCTTCCACTACCCATACTGAGATATTATTTATTTGTTATTTATTTTCCATTCTACTTCTTTGTATTTTTTCGCATTTTATTATTTTGTTGTTTTTTATATTTATTTTTTGAAATACTCCTTTTAAATGTTTGATAAAAGTTAGATCCAATATTGTAGATAAGTGCTGAAAATTCCACACTGTACCACTAGTACTGTTTCTGGAATAGAGCAAATTATTATGAAACTTCGTTTGGCTTGTTGTAGTAAACCTAGAAAAGGAAGGAAGGTTGGGCCCCAAGACTAGCAACTCCAGCCCACCCCCCCCCCCCACCATAAAGAATAAAACCACTGCTACGGAGACTTCAAAGCTCATTCTTGAAGCCCTAAGACGTTCCACTAAGAAGGCAAAGGAATGAAATTAAAAAAAAAAACTACAGATAAACAATATAATACACAACATACCTGAGCTGAACTAGCCAGTGCTAATTGTTGTTCAGCTTGTAGACCAGCTTGAGGATGCCAGACAATAGCACAGGCTGGAGCAGAGTGCCCGCGTAGATTTAAAACTAGATTACAATCAGGCATAGACCATAAACGACACAGACCACTCCAAGATGCTGTAGCCAGTTGTTTACCATCTGGAGAAAAACGACACATACTTAACGGTCGAACATCTCCAACTTGACTACACAATAGATTTGTGTTCTACATTGTCGAAAGAAAACATAGAGTAGACAAAAAAAGTGGCATTAGATCTGCGGAATGGTTATAATTTCAATAATTAATCATAGGAAACGGGCTAAAATTGTATATGAAAATTCTACGCTTGTTTGCAAATCATATACAAAAAATTAGACAAGTGTGCGTGTACTACTTATAAGATTTATCAGTAGCATATAAAGGGACGTTCATCAGCACACACAAAAATATCGAATAATGGAGAGATAAATTTGACATCAAAGAGAGCAAATGAAGGAGCACTGTGGTAAAACATGGCAAACATGAAAAGAAGATAAAGAAACACACTGCGAAGGCCAAGATTTGTGCAAATGGCGATTTTAAGATAACGTGTACATAATTTTCTAATCGAAATAGAGATACCGAGCCATATAGTCTTGGTGTGAACGTTTCAGTGGGTTTAACTGATGTATACTGACTATGTGCGATGAAGCCTTGTTGTTTCAGTCTTTTCAATGTTTTCGCTAACTGTTTCTCTATCTTTTCAATAGGATCCAGAGAAGAGGAGATTTTTTGGAATTTCTGATTTAGTAGACATGATATCCGGCTGACTGTCGACCAAAGGGAGTGTATCCAGCTCAGCGCAGCAGTTCGCTCCATCCTCCTTTATGACTGTGAGTGAGACATAGCCATTGAAAGTGGAAGATACGAATAGGCCAGATAACTAACTGTCTTTGATCATTGCTGTCTGCATCCAATCTTCCCCTTGTGTGTTAAGCGGTATAATAGGGTGAGTAATATTGAGGTTAGGAATCTGTCGAGTGCTAGGTGGGTAAGGAGGGAGGGGAAATCAATCGATGACATTGTGAAGTTACATCGATTGAGATGGTTAGGGTATGTGTTGCGTATGTTTAGTCATTGCCTACCTTAACAGGCAATGAGGTTGGATAAGAGCGAGTGGTGGTCAAACCAAAACATGGCCCATCATCAGTCCCTCAAATCCACAACAGTTAGTTTAAGCCAGCCAGCCAGCCAGCCAGCCAATCACTTAGGGAGGGGTAGACTTCCTGACTGATTGGAGTTGTCGGGATGGTAAGAACCAAAGAAGACTGGAGACAATTGCTGATATGACTCAAAGCGATCGTTGTCAATGGCTGGCCGGTGCAGGTGCATCCACTCCTTATGATTTATAATGTCCAATAAAATTCTATTGTTCTTGCATATAACTATTCTTTTTGACTAATATCTATGTTCACTGTCTATGTTTTGCATTTCTTTTTTTACTTTCTTCGTTTGTTTTGCGTGCTAAGTGAAATGTGGCGACTCGAACTGGTGCACAACGGTGCAGAGTTCTACGTTGAAACCAGTCAGTCAGTCAGTTCTATTATAAACTTGACTACGGTATAATATATATTTAATATAGTTACTAATTATAGAATTGACTACTTTACTTCTAACGATACGATAGAGAATGCAAAAAAAATCCTTTTGATCGATGAAGAAACGTGTCATCTTTAGGTCAAAATAAATAAATAGATAAATACACATATGTTGTATCAGGTTTTCAGTAGATATATACGTCTGTGTTTTAAAAAATTTGTAAAGAACTACCTTTATATTGATAATAAAGGTGAAATGTATGTGTTATGTACTCGTCGCTAAATTATTATTATGTACTGGTCAAGAATTTAATAGTCCTGACGCAAGGAAGACGGAAATCAGAAGACCACTAGGTTTGCGATGATACTTCTATTTTCCAAACACAAGGAGAATCAATAAGTGGCATCACACCAAAAGTAGTCACATAAGATTGTGTGAGCGAAATATATATGAATGTCCAGACAAGTGTGTGAACAAATCGATAGACAGTCTTAACATGATTGGCTAATTATAATGGAGTATCGATCCATATATACATAGCAAAATATAGCAGACATTTCAACAACCACACATAATATGGATATATGTCACCAAGCAACGGACTGTCAACAAACACTCATATTATATATAATATAAGGGGAATATACATTGTTAAAGGAGACAGGTTCATCAAAGTGAAATGGTCACAGACTAAGCGAGCAACAGAAAGAGAGACCACCATACACATATATATATATATGTGGATACATATCAGTATGTCACTGGATAAACAGTCTGGCTACCAGCTCAATTAGTTTAACTCTAACATGCTTAACTATCTCTACCTTCATTATGATGAACCTGTGGAGTGTGCTACTTACTATATCTATCAATTTGACTGCTTCTGTGCAACTAGTTAGTTACATATAAGCCATACAAGTAGTCATGTTTATCGTCGAATTTCCAAACATAATCCTTTGTCTGCAAGTAAAGGACAAAAAAAAATCCACTCACAGCTCCATTCTATCTCCTCTTATGGTTACAGAACACAAGATTGATGTGTCAACTAGGTAATCTCAGAAACCACTGTAAGACTCTTCAAAGCTCTAGGAATCGACGTCGTACACAAACCAACAAAGTCACTTCACTCAATTCTATGTCAACCAAAAGATTCAACAGCGAACGAAAGAAGATAAAACCAACATCATCTACAAAATAAATTGTAACAACTGCGAAAAACACTACATTGGCCAAACAGGGACGTCCCTGCTGTTCGTCTTCGCATCCATAAACATAAGCTAGCTGTCAAAAGACACGATATCCACTCCCTCCCTGATATCACTGCATACAGACAACCACAGACATCAATTCGACTGGGACAACCAAGGTTCAAATATTAGACACAGGAAACACCAAGAATGCTAGCCAGAGAATTTTTAGAAGCCTGGTATTCCCGTGAATCGTCAATCAATAGACACATCGAGATAGACTAAATTTACCAATTGATAAGAAGGAAATCTCACACACGCGCAGGGTCAAAGTTCAAGTCAAAGAAACTATCAGTTCCAATACAAGTAACCTAGGAGGTAAGGTGTGAAAACACACAAAAACAACCAATCACGTGCAAGGTCACCTACCAGAAGCGATGATTAATAAACTCGTAGAGAAATTTAAAAGCTCACTTCAATTCGAATTGAAGTATGCTCTGAAGATGTCGCCTAGTAGGGCAATAATGAAAGCTTCGCAAATTAACTAACTATCCAGCTAGCTCAGAGAACACAACCACATCAAAATCATCCACCTGAGCTACAAATCTTCTCTTGCATATCTAGTTTTCAAAGTCATCTACCGTATATCAACAAAACTTTACACAATGAGTTCATTTATTAAATATTCCTGAGGCAGGCTATTGGGATCCACATTAGGAAGCCTAATTTATGCGTCAAAAAGAAGAAGCTAGTTCAGACATTTTCCATACCTCCTTGGCCATCTAGGTTCGAATGATCATCAATTAGTTGTAGAAATTTCCTTAATTTCAGGTGATATTCTATTTGCTATTATATTTTTGTTATTATTCTTATTCTTATAATTTAAGCATCTTTAACGAACTGTGATAATTCCATTTTGATCTTACTTAATAAATCGATATTATTTAAAAAAAACACCAACATTGTTAGTGACTCCTGTTCTAGAATATTCTATGCATATAAACATGCATATATATATATATATATATATATATATATATATAATTGTAGAGCCAGAAGAGGAAATTATCGAAAAGGATATTCCTTGCTCAATTGTTTTTTTCCCAGATGTCTGAATGAATATTTTCGCTATTATAGTGAAAGACAGGATTGTCAAGAGAACATAGAAAAGACCGAGGTGATGGAGAAATCTAACCAGAAGGAACAACAACCACGAGCATCAATCACCAATCAAGGGGCGAAATTTGAAGGAAGTCTTCTCTTTCACTTATGTAAACGAAGTCATTTTGACAACAAGAGGCATAGATGACGGTATCAAGGACGACAGGGTTAGACCTTGAAACCTACTGCACACACACACACACACACAGCATAAGGAACACACAATGCGGATCTCGAACACTAATGTCAAGTCAGTGTTTCTACTTATGAGCTTCAGATAACGTGGGGAAAAGCGTCAGCAAAAGGCATTTCCGACGACAGGCTGTTAAAAACTTTCATCCACAGATATATATATATATTCACTGTTCTTCATACTGAAGAACAGATGACACACCAGTGAGAAAGGATACAAAACAAAGGACTAGGGAACGAATCAGCAATCTATAACCCACATGAATATACACAAGGAGATAGGGATAGATTGGATATATGACTGAGAAGACGGATGAGTGATGATGTAACGCGCCATGACCTTCAGATAGAAGCGGGACAAGGAAAGACGAGCTGAGTGTAATTTCAAGAATGAAATAGAGGAAATCGTGTGAGGATGAAGTGGAAGCTAATGCGACTCGAGAGAACAGAGTGACAATGTGATGCTAAAACCCTATATTCCACTAGGAATCTAAGGGAATAATAATAATAATAATAATGAGAATTAATACTTCATCTGTGCACAGAAAGATCATTCAGCTTATTGTCTGTGTTGAAATGCATGAGGACATATGGCGCACATACCTTTACCGACTGATTAACTATTGCCAAGAAAGTACTCTAGAAGCAGTGAGTAAGCAATCCATAGAGTCAAACTTATCATTCGACGCCTCATAATACTACTCAATCGCTCAGGCTGAAGTAGGTAGACTGGAATTCGAACCTGTGACCCATAAACTGAACACCAAGTGTCCAATTAAGCCAATGTACTAAATTTTCGCTACCTGAAAGATGAATTTCTGATGACAGAGTTTTCATTATTGGTATTATATGGTGTGAGGCAATCGGTGGGAAGCCTTACGCTTGAACTATGCACTTCGTGATAGTTGGCACTCACCACCACCAGTCAGCAAGGAGTATCTGCAGCCTCAAAGAAACTCAATGTCCTTTCGGAGATTCGAAGTCACGTCACCCAGTGGTGCTTGATGTCAGAGACGTTAGCATTGAGCTATTCGGGTTCGCAACTAACCTCCTGTGGGACTGTATTGGATATTTTCGACTGGACACTAGGCAGTAACTAGTGCCAACCAGCAGCACGAAACCTAGGTCAGGCAAGGCTTCCTGTGGGCTGATCGCTTCCAATCATCTAATACGAAAAATTCACAGTGCACTATGATAGCGAGCCACCTTAGGCATGGGGTGGGCACATTGCAAACTTGACTGATAGAATTCAGACATCTATAAAAAGTAAAATAATTGAGCGAAGAATATCCTTTTCGATAGATAATGCCCTCTTCTGGCTCTACAATTATACATATGCATGTGTTTATATACATAGAATATTCTAGAATAGTAGTCAATAGCAATACTGGCGTGCTTTTTAAATAATATCGATTTATGAAGTAAGATCACAATGGAATTACAGTTGATGAAAGATGCATAAATTATAATAAGTATACGACTATAATTGCAAATAGAATATCACGTGAAATTAAGGAAATTTCTACAAAAAAAATGAGGATCATTCGAAACTAGATGATGGCCAACAGGGTAAGGAGAATGTCTGAACTAGCTTCTTCTATTCGACGCATAAATTACGCTTCTTAATGTGGATCTCAACAGCCACTCTCAGCAATATTTAGTAAACGAACTCTTACTGTGAAGTTAAGATTAGTTGGTATGCGGTAAAGGACTATGAAAGCTGTGTCGTTGACATCAATCTTGTGTTCTGTGTATCCAAAAGATGAGAGAGAATAGAGCTATGTGAATATATTTTGTTTGTCCTTTACTTAACCACTATGCAAGGTGATGTTTGGAAATCCGACGGTAAGCACACCTAATTGTACGGCCTATACACAACTAACTGGCTCACTCCACAGGAGCAGTTATATTGATAGATACACATGGAAGAGGCGAAATTGAGCAGTTTATCTTCACCTCCCGATCGCAAAACATGGTTGGTTTTGAATACACAGCATAAGTGAGCAGCATTGAATGAATATATAATTGTAGAGCTAGAAGAGAAAATTATCAAAAAGGATATTTTTTGCTCAATTATTTGTTCTTTTTTAATAGATGTTTGAATGAATATTTCCGCTATATTGCGCTAGAATCCAGTCTTCACTAAAGATAGGACTAGGCACACACATTACACTTCTTACTGACTAATATCCAGTCAAAAGAGAGCTTTCATTGACAAAAAATAATATGGCGTGTTATTTGATACGAGAGAATTCAATATTGTAAAAAACAAAAAAAATAATAATAATTTTGGATTTAGAATGACAAGTGGACAAGCGGAAACAATTCAGAGTGAGAATAGTAGGACGCTTTCCACACGCATATGAGAGCATTTTTCAGCGACATGCTTTTACCAGGTAGAAAGGAAGTGTGTGTGTGAAGCTCTATTCTACAACATTTCATCGACTCCTGTCACTTTGCCAACCCTGACCATGATTTTGAGATCATCTACCGAATCCATGCTAACTTGCTGGTCGCATTTTCTTCGTTACAGACTTCTAAAGACAGCAGTGGCCTTGGAAATTCATGACTTTAAGCCAGCCAGACCTTTGTGTACAAAAGACATATGTACAATCCCTACTTCTGCCTTGGCCATAGAGGGAAAGACATTTATTTATTAATGTATTTTGTTTATTTAGTTATTCTACGAACCTACGGCGTACCCCAAATATTCATCCACCTTATTCAACAGCTACACGACAACGGCACATGTCAAGTGATCAACAACAGAAAACTCAGCGAGGCGTTTGGAATAAACACACAAGTCAGACAAGGGTGCTTATTATCACCAATGATATTCCTAATTGTGGTGGACTGGATTATGTGTCAGACAGTGGGAAACGAGAAGACAGGGATATTCTGGACCGACCGACGTGAAGAACCTAGAAGACGTGGATTTCGCGCGTGGATGATCTATGTTTGATGTCACACACACAAAATCGAAGACTTACAAGCGAAAGCCGACCGACAAACTGGTCGAAGAAGCAGCCGGCGAAGACAGGACTCCAGGTGAACATAGACAAGACGGAGGTTATGAAAACAACCAACCAACAACAACAACAGAAACATCCAGCGCCAATCACCACCAACAAGACGGATCTGGAAGAGGTTACTTCATTCACTTATCTAGGGAGCATTATCTCAACTACCACAGGAGGAACGGACGACGATGTCAAATCGAGCAAGAATCGGGAAGACGAGCGAGAAATACATTCATCAACCAACTGAAACCAATCTGGAAATCTTCGTCACTCAGCATCAACAACGAAATTCAGTCGAATTTTCAATACAAACAACGTCAAGTCAGTCAGTTCTTCTATACGGATCAGAAACTTGGAGGGTGGGTCACAAAGAATATTTTCAACAGCCTGTTGCACACCTTTATCAACAACAACTGTCTTCGCTGGATCTATACTGAAGATCAGATGGCCGGGCCGGAAAGAATCACCAACAAGAAAATATGGGCACTAACAAACAAAACAAGAACCATTCGCCAACCAACAAATATGCAGGAGAAAGTGGAGGTGGATTGGACGTCACTCGCTGAGGAGGCCGCTGGGTGACATCACGTGCGCGTCAGGCCGCCGCTCAAGTGGAACCAGGCCGAAAGGAAAGCGGCGAGTGGGTCGTCAGTGTAAGGGTGGCATGGAGGAGATCGTGTGAAGAGGAGTTGAAACAGTATGGACTAACGTGGATGCAGGAGAAAAGTACAGCAGAAGACAGAAGCAAGTGGAGACGTGCAGTTGAAGCCCTATGTTCCACTAAGAACCCAAGGGAATAATAATAATTATGATAATAATAATCTTCACTCCTTTATCTCAAAGCTCAATTCATTGAATATTGAAATATTCCCAATATTTACAATATTTATCATTAAAAGAATTACCAAAATTTAATGAGACGACTTACTCGAAGAACTTTATGATATTCTTGTTGTTTAGCTTTACGTTGAGAGGCTGGTGCATTGGCATAATAAGTTCTAGCTCTATCCAAGCGTACTTTAGCACGAGTCAACGAAAATTCAGCTATCCATTGACGTGCTACTGCAAGACTATCAGGACCTTGATGATACCAAACTGTAGTGTCCTATACACGGACACAAACACAGGATAGACAAAATAAAAAGGGTATAATTAGAAAAAATGTACAGATATCTATAAAGCAAGTGAGGCAGTAATTAAGGTTTAGGAAATCTGCACAGAGTTGTACTGTTCTTTAGCGGATGATGATGGCTAGCAATGAAACCCACAATACGCATTTCGTCCCATCCGGGACTCATCATCTGATATTCGTCTGCGTAACAGATGGCGACTGTCATGGTCCAAATGGTCCAGTGGATAACCAACAATGTGACGTTTGAAACGATAAGTTGCTGGGTTCGAGTCCCAGTGGGGACACATCATCAAAATCAAGTTGACGAGTCCCAAATAGGACGAAAGGCGCATGTTGGTTTCTACCCCCAAGTGCTAGTCACTATCTATAACAAAACATCAGGTTAATCCTCAGGCAACGTCGAAGTTTTTGCACTGGGAGCTGGTATGTCAAATGAGGTTGAATATTTTGATTCAGGCAAGCAAAACTGAATTTTAAAAAATAAGATAATCACACTGATTGCAAAAGAACTGTCATTTATCGGTCTAGGCGCTTGATTCCTGAATCGTGCTTCAACTGCTAAAGTCTGAGCATCCTCAGGATACAATCGCTCCCTTCGATCATTAAACACACGCGAAATACATAGAATAGTGTAACCTGAAATTCTTTATATATGGATTACTAACTCGCTAATTGACATCAAAAGACATTTCAACACTCTCTTCTCTTTTCCCTTCAGTTAACAGTTAGTGTACAATGCTTCTGTTCTGATTTCAGAGATATGTTGAATTTCACAGCAGGTAGTGTTAGCTGATATAGGGTCAGACTGGAAAAGAGTTAGCGGCGGTCAAACCAAAACATGACTTCACCAGTCAATGAAATCAACAACAGTTAGCTTAACCAACGTAGGAAGGTGTAGACTTCCTGGTTCGTTGGGGTCCTCGGGACGGTAAACATCAATGGCTGGAAACAATTGGTGATATGGCTGTTATGTACTGGTCGAGAATTTAATAGTCCTGACGCAAGAAAGACGGAAATCAAAAGACCACTAGTTTTGCGATGATACTTCTATTTTCCAACACAAGGAGAATCAAAATGTCACACAAGAGTGTGAGAGCAAAAATATATGAATGTCCAAACAAGTGTGTGAGCGAATATTCAAACTGAACAAATCAATAGACAGTCTTAACATGATTGGCTAATTATAATGGAATATAGATCCATATATGCATAGCAGAATATATCAGACTGTCAAACAAACACACATATTATATGGATACATATCACCAAGAACAGGATGTCGAACAAAACACACATATTATATGGATACATATCAATGGCTCAAAGTGATCGTTCTTAATGACTCGCACTGTTGGATGCATCCACTCCTTGTGACTTATGATTTCCAATGAAACAATATTGTTCTACGCTATTACTATTCCTTTTGTCTCATATCGCTGTCTACTGTCTCTCATGCATTTCTTCAACTTTCTTCTCTTGCTTTGTGTGCTACATAGAGTGAAGTGTGGCGACTTTAACTGCTGCACATCGGTGCAAAGTTCTATGTTGAAAATAGACAGACAGACAAACATGTCTGGCTAGGCTATTTAATTCGCCAATTGCAATTGATACAATTCAAGGTGGGATTTGATCACAGTTTCCTTCGGAAACCGAGACTATTTTCAGATCACATTATGCGATCTACTCTTTGAACTGAGTGAAACCAGGGTACACTTTTGATGAGGTTGACCCCAAGCGAGCAAAACAGCTGCCCCGGGGTTTAGATCACTCCGACCTGGATAAATGACGAGCAACTACTACTAGGTGATATGTGTGGGCGTGTGTTGTGTTCAACTACTCATCAGCCAACAGGTCAGTAGTATGTAGCCTCACGCATTTACCATTATAACGCTCTTGCAATACTACTCCTTACTGGCGGACTGATTTCTATCAACCATAAAAAGTCTGTAAAAGTCAGTTATATAACTTGATGTATTAAGTGTTACTGGTTGTATGCAGATGAGAAGAAACCACAAAACAAAAGGGACACATGCAATTCTCTGTGCGTCAGTGGGGGTTCGCCGATAGAATACTCGTCAACTAACGCCCACGTAGTCTGTCTGTCTGTCAGTCTGTTTTCGACATATAACTTTGCACCGATGTGCGACAGTTCAAGTCGCCACATTTCACTTCATGTAGAATACAAAGTAAGAGAAGAAAGTAGAAGAAATGCATAAAAGAGACATTAAACAGAGTTATGAGACGAAGGAATAGTAATAACGAAGAACAATATAGTTTCATTGGGAATCAAAAGTCACAGGGAGTGGATGCGCATCTGCGAGATTGAGAACGATTTTGAGCCATATTACGAATTGTTTCCAGCCATTGGTTTTTACTATCCCGAGGACCCCAACCAGGAAGTCTACATCATCCTACGTGGCTTAAACTAACTGTTGTTGCAGTAAGCCCTCACCTGGCTGTATGAGTACGAGTAGAGTTCCTTAATCAGTGCAATATATTCTGTCGTCATCCCCTTTACAGCCAAGCATCGCCAGAGAACCTCTTAGTCGACAGAATCGAATTCCGCTTTTAGGTCAAGAAATATAACGACTGTTGGACGCCGGTAGGAATTCCTATGTTCTAGAATCTGTCGGAGGGTGAAGATATGATCAATACACCCTCTTCCTAGTCTAAAGCCTGGCTGGCTCTCTCGTGTTTGTGCCTCTCTAGCACCACTTAGTCTACGCAATATTATTGAGCCTAGGACTTTAGATACTATATTAGTCAAGCTAATCCCTCTGTGATTATCACAGGAAGACTTGTCTCCCTTCTTGTATATCGGGATAATCAGTGAATTACACCAACCCGATGGGACTTCTTCTGATTCCCAGACGTTGCCTAGTACTTCAGTTAATGCAGACAGTAAACTGTCTCCACCGTACTTAAATACCTCTGGAGTCATTCCATCAGGTCCCGCTGCTTTGCCTAGTTTCAGATTGGTAACAGCTTTAGTAACCTCAGTTGAGGAAGGGAGACCTGTGTCTATATCCCATTCAGGAAGGTGTTGGATGTTCGGCAGGTTGAGCGTGGCTGTGGGCCAATTAAACTGCTCCTCATAATGCTCTTTCCAACGATCCAGTCGTCTATCCTGTGAGCTAATTATAGTGCCATTTTTTTTCGAGATTGTCTCACTGATGATTTGTCTTCTCCCACCCGTTTCCCTGATGAGTCTAAAGAGTTGCCTGGTGTTGCCTATCCTCGAAGCTTTCTCCATCTCTTTGGCTTTTGTCACCCACCGCTGTTCACGGTCGTTGCGAAGGCTTCTAGTTAGTTTTCGTTTGAGTAGCTTTCGCTTCTCATCATAATCGGAGCTCGCCGGAGTCAGTCTTCTTGCGTCAATAAGTTCGGATGAGGTGGTAGAGATCCAATGGCTCTTAATAAATTTTGGTTTTAGCTTATTATTAGCTTTTACAGCTGTGTCTACAGCTAACTGTATGTTGTGCCGGGCTACCTAAGGGGAAGTCCCACGTAGTCCAGGTTCCAATCCTCAGTCGAAGCACTTTAGAAACCTCGCTTAGTCGATAGTAAGCCTGGTAAGCCGGGAAGGTTAGGAGTCGTGAGGCTATTAACCTAACCCTGTTAAAAAAACACGCCACTGTTATTGAAACCTCTTCAAAGCTCCACCCTGAAGTCCTGAGCGCATTCCACTTGGTGGAACGCAAAGAAGTGAAATAAATAATTAATAAAAATATATTATTCTCTGCACTAATATATTTATTACTTTGATAGAGAAAGAACGATCAGATTTGCGGTATAAAATGATATCATTCTATTTCACAGGCGGTGTCATACGACGTGACTGCCTTATTTACAAATGTACCAGTGATGGAAACAATAGACTCCATTTTGTAAACAAACAGATCTATTGCCATTACCAGAGACAAAGATGAAGCGCCTAATAATTCTTTGCACAAAAGACATCCAATATAGATTCAATAACCAATTCTACCAACAAATTGACGGGGCCGCCATGAGTTCACCTCTAGGACCTATATTCTAGCCGACATCTTCATGGGTTATCTCGAACAGACGCGACGGAGTGACGCTATCAATGAATCAACATACTACTGTCGATGACAACTTTGTTTTCTGTAACGACATGATTCAGGCATTCGTATTATTTGACCGCCTAAATAAGATCAACCCAAACATTAAATTTATCATGGAATACGAACACAACGATGAGTTCAATTTCCTGAACCTAAATGTAAAAAGAAGAAATGATGGAACCGTCGAAAAGTCCATCTACAGAAAAGAAACTTGGACCGGACAATACCTTCACTACAACAGCTTCTGCCATATGAGCTAAATTGGATGTCTTTTGTGCAAAGAATTAGTAGTCGTTTCATTTCTATCTCCGGTAATGAGCTATAAGCGGGGATTAGTAAAGACACTGTACGACAGGGCTAGGAAGTGATGTTCACCTAACAAGGCAGAAGAAGAATTAAGCTTTGTTGAAAAATGCCTTAAGGAAAACGGGTATCTAAAAGGATTTTCCTAAAGTACAGCAAAGAAAGAGATGAGAAAGAGAAGTCCCCAACAGTTGAAAAGAAGAAAGTGTTCATTTGCCTCCCATACAAAGGAGAAACCGTATCGCAAAAGATTGAAAATAGGATGAAAGGAGCAATAAAGAGATGCTTCCCTGCAGCCAATCTGGTGACACTATACAGTACTGCATGCTCTATAAGCCAATCAAAACTGGATAAGTACACTGCTGATGTTACCTTAAGCTGCATTTACAAATTTACGTGCATCTGAGGCTTAAAAGGAAGCAGATATTTACAAAGTACAATTACCAGACAACCACATTGAGTCATTTTGTCAAGATTTCCAAATCCTTCAAAACATTAAACATACAAAGGACAGCGAATCTACTACGATTTGCTGAAGCAATTACAGCAATCAAAAGTCGCAGACCAAACGTATGCACACAAAAAGAGAGCGTAGTCAGTCTCTCTCACTCCCTTGGTAACCGTATCACTTTCATTACACTGATTAGTCATACGCACTAGTGAGCTCAACTCACTAAGGAAGTTTTCAAACTGATGAACTTTGACCTTCTTGAGTTGCCATGTTGACACTGTTTATTAGATTTTTTTGTTTTCTGTCTTCTCTCACTCCCCGCTGTTTTCTTTTTTCATAGTTTGATAGTATATAAATTGATGGTAACTTAAACTAAAATAAATTGTAAAACTTATATTCCGAATGCGTTCACCATATAATATTTTCTCTATTACCTTACAAACAATGAAGTATGATATTCAAGTGTTGGTCTGTAGGGATTTGATTGGTTTACAAGATTTCATCATGAGCCGACATCAGTAAGAGAACCACTGGAAAACCTGGGAGTACCGGACAACTGTTTCGTACTAGTTTGGGAATCTTCATCAGTACGCACCCACCGGGGTTCGAACCCAGGACCTTCTGGTTACAAGGCGAGCTCATACACCATATTAAGCCACTGAGACCTAGTCCTGGGTTAGAATCCCGGTGGGTGCGTACTGCTGAAAAGTCCCAAACTAGGATGAAACAGCTGTCCAGTACTCCCAGGTTTTCCATTAGTTCTCTAACTAATATCAGCTCATGATGAAATTCTGTAAATGTAGTATGAAATGTTATTATCTATAACCATTGTAATTTCAGGTAGTGGTGTGCAGCTGATGTATTATTATTACTATTATATCCTTTAATTCCTAGAGGAACATAGGCTTCAGCCGCGCGTCTCCATTGGGTTGGGTTTTCTGCCAACTTTTTCACCCCGCTCCGATTCTGCTGATGAGAACCTGTGAAATCGACTGATGATATCATTTTATACTGCAAATCTGGTCTTTCTTTCTCTCTATCGAAATTTATCAAGGGAACCAAATATATGAAATATTTATTATGACTCCTTTCAAGTTTATTGATATATATATATATATATATATATATATATATGTGTGTATGGTGATCTCTCTTTCTGTTTGCTCGCTTAGTCTGTGACCATTTCACTTTGATGAACCTGTCTCCTTTAACAATGTATATTCTCCTTATATTATATATAATATAATATGAGTGTTTGTTGACAGTCCGTTGCTTGGTGACATATATCCATATTATATGTGTGGTTGTTGACATGTCTGCTATATTTCGCTATGTATATATGGATCGATACTTCATTATAATTAGCCATTCATGTTAAGACTGTCTAATGATTTGTTCACACACTTTGTCTGAAACATTTAATATATATTTCGCTCTCACAATCTTGTGTGACACACTTTGGTGTGATACCACTTATTGCTTCTCCTTGTGTTTGGAAAATAGAAGTATCATCGCAAACCTAGTGGTCTTCTGATTTCCGCCTTCTTGCGTCAGGACTATTAAATTCTCGACCAGAACATAGCAATAATTTGGCAACGAGTACATAACATTTATAAAGAGAAATTTGTGTATAAACAGAATATATATTTCAAAGTACAGAAAGAAACACAAAAAAGAAACACAACTTACATCGCCTACAAATTCACTGGAGACCTTTTCACCTGATCGATTCACTACTGTACCACTACTACTGGTCTCAGTAGATGATTTTGTTGATGTATCAGGCAGTGGTGGTCTTTGAGCTGGACCACCGCTAACCGCAAGAATCATACGTAATCGTTCTCTGCGATCAGCTCCATCTTCACCGAATAAACCTAATATACAATGCAATAACACAATAGGAATAATTATGATGTAATACAGAAAGGGGAAGATAAAGAAAGTAGAAAAAATTTTCAAGTTTTGGTTTTGTAGGATTTAGTTGGATTGCATGGAGGATTTCATTATGATGCTCCCTTAGCGACTGGCCCTATTCAGGCAGTTAACCTGAAGTTTTAGTGGGAAGCCATGACCAGTAGACAGAGGACATTGCGAAATAGTTGCGCTATGTGGTGAATTGGCAGAAGTTAGAATTCATGAGCTGGCTGGCCACTAGATAGAGTCCCAGTAGCTGATGAATGGTCTAACTCACTAGCCTTATAACCAGAAGGTCCTGGGTTCGAACTCCTGTGGTGAGTGCGTACTGATGAAAAGTTCCAAACTAGGCTGACGAAACAGCTGCCTGGCAATACTCCCAGGTTTTCCAATGGTGCTCTAACTGATGTCGGCTCACGACGAAATCCTCTATCAATCAGAGTAGAAAAGAGTTAATTAGCGTTCCTATTGTTCACTGTGCACATCAGTAACTCGTCATAAGCCTCTGCACCAACTTATGCGCCATATTTAACTGTGAGAAATCGAGAAAGTTCATTTTCAACTCATGAGTACTCAAACTAATCAATTCAAGGCAGTGAATGATAGTTAGGAAAGCTTCGTATATTTTAGAAAGTCTGCGAGAGGCTGTTAGTTCACGGGTAATCACCCGCCTAGTGGAAGTTGGGTTTTTTTCTCCAGGATACCTGAAACAGAAACAGCATTATCAGCCCTGAGACAATTGCTTGATGCTAGGCCACACGCGGCCTGATTCAACTAATTTTTAGACTTGTGCCTGTATTAGGATCTTGCCGCTGACTACGGACCATCATAAAGTAAGTCAGGATATACGATTTTTCAGTGCGACCTTACCCAACCCTTCTTTCCAAAGCAGAGAAGAAGCACAGTTGATATGCTAGGGTCACCTAAGTGTCTATAAGTATGGCATGTTTTGCGCCGTCTAAGTGCAAAGCGCTGTTACAAGAATGTCAGGAGCCTGTATCTGTATTCACTCTTCCTTGCAGATAAACCGCATGAAGTTGTTGATAAGTTTGTGTATCTGGGTAGTTGTGTGAGTGCTGGCGAAGGGGTGACGGATCAGATTTCCAACCGTATAATGAAGGCTAGGGTGGCATACATCAACTTAAGCCACCTCTGGCGCTGTCGCGATATTAGCCTGGCTGTCAAGGGTCGGGTCGGGTATACAATGTTTCTGTGTGGGCTGCCCTGCTCTACACCTGTGAAACTTGGCCTCTCCAAGCTGAGGATGTGCAGCGAGTCTGCGTGTTAGATCATCTCTGTCTCCGGAGGAATGCTTGCGTTCGATGGCATCATCGCGTAAGTAATTCTGAGGATCGGCGGCGTGTGTTTGCACACAGTGAAGATCACCGTTTGTTGAGTGTCGTCATCTGGAAACACTGACTTCGGTGGCTTGGACATGTACTGCGAATGTCATCTCAGAGGCTTCCGTATAGGTCTCTGTTCGCTAGCCAGACCTGGGACCGGATGGGAAAGGCGGAGAGGTGGTCAGTCCATGATGTGGAGTCATAGGATGAAGGATATTTGTGCCACGTTAGCATCAGTTGGTGCGTCACGACTCCTTGGTTGGAGTCCGCGAGATAGCTCCAATCGATGGCTCGAAACGTTATCGGATATGGCCAAGAATTGTAATCAATGGCGAACGTGTTGCAATTTCCTTCTTTTGAGAATGAAATCGCCGAAAAGATATCTTTGCTGAACTTCGTGTTCTCTTCTTTCCAATTCCTTCTCTCTTCCCTTCCTGATGATAGCTGACGAATACTGTTTGAACTTGTTAGGTATGACTGGTTTCCTTCCAGATGAAGTTCTTTATCCATTCTCTAATTATATTTTTACTTTTGATCTATGTTGTTTTATTAGTATTGTGTGGCGCATCCTTCTTGGTGCCATATTTCTGCTTTTAAATAAATAATCTATGTATGTAACCATATATATAATTGTAGAGCCAGAAGAGGAGATTATCAAAAAGGGTATTCTTCGCTCAGTTATTTTGTTGAAAGCCAATTTTTAAAAAAAGGCGGGGGGGGGGCTATTATAGTACCGTTTGAAATCGAAGGACATCACTGAATAACTGAAGACTGTTGTAGGCAGTTCATTTTATTTCTCTTAGACAGCGGCAGTTTGTGCTAAAAAGAAAAAGGTCAGCAAACAGTTATCTCACGTGTTGGTTGGGAGACATTGGCACCCACAATTTCGGTCTTTTTTCTCAAGTTTAGTAGAAACTTGTAGAATTAGCAGGTGGTCAAATATTTTAAATACTCGCCAGAATAAATTATATGCAATATACAATGTCATGGGGTATTTTGGTAGCGCAAGTTTTAAGCAGCCCGCCTAGTAGACTTAACACAGTGAGGAATTAGTACAGAGATGTTCATATTTATTTATAGAGGTTTTTTGTATTTCCCAATGAATGAAAAAACAAACGAGATTGTTTTTACTGACGTTTCGCTATTTAATGCTAATAGCTTCTCGTTCATTGAACTTCCATACTTGCTGCAAATCATACCTCCAAAGTATTTTTACGAGAACGTATACATATATGCAACATCAAACTTGAATCTTATCGAATGAGAATCAAAAATATAGATGACTGCTTAACATTACTTGTTACAAATCATATCTATGAATCCTTTCAAAATTGTTCAATGAACGAGAATCTCATTTTCATAATGTCACTAAAAGAAGACATATACAAAAATTCTCGAAACTCAAAGAAAAGAAACAACCAAAGGAACCCTCAACAAATGATATGAGGAATATTAGAGCCATACATAACATGTCAGACAAGATACTAACCGAAAATGAAACCTCATTGCTACAGAAAGGTTTGAATTTCAATATAACTAGAAAGCCATTATCGGTCCAGGAAATAGCACCTATGATTGAACCTGCTCTACAACAACTCACCAATGAAGAATCACAATCTGCTCGTCAAAAGATATCACACATATTAATGACACAACGAAACATAACATCTAATCTCACCAAACAAGAATATGAAGCCTTAGGAAATTTGAAGAAAGACAAAAGCACCGTCATAACGAAGCCGACAAGGGGAACGTCACTGTGATAATGAACAGAACGGATTATGAAAAGAAAGCCTAAAATTCTGTCTGGAAAGTAATTATTTTACATTCAAAGGGAGTTTATATAGACAGACAAATGGTGTTGCTATGGGTTCACCAGTCTCCCCAATAGTCGCCGATCTTTACATGAATAAATTCGAAAATAATATCTTTTCAAGCATACTCACTCCTAAAATATGGTTAAGATATGTGGATGATACTTTTGTAGTACTAAAACGAGATCTACACAATTCATTCCTGGAGAAAATAAACTGTGTATCTCCCAAAATCCAGTTCACTTCGGAAGCAGAATCAGACATCGGTGAACTTCCATTTCTAGACTGCCTAGTTAAGAGAAAGGAAAACGGACATTTTAGTATATCCATATTCAGGAAGAAAACCCACTCCAACAAATATTTAGACTTCAAATCATCACACCCCATCAGCGCAAAGATTTCAGTTGTTTCAAGTCTTCTTAGACGAGCACACTCCCTGATAACAGATGAGCAAGAAAAAGAAGAAGAAATTTCAAACATCACTAAAACTCTCAAGCAAAACAACTACCCAACGAACTTCATCAACAAAATCAACACAGACATTAAGTATGGCCGAAAATGCATTCCGAAAACATGGACTTCAACAGTCGTCATTCCATATAGAGCAGAGACGTCAGACGATATCAGAAGAGTACTTAATCAACTCGACATTAGAGTTTTCTTCAAAACATCGGACACACTTCAAAACAACCTTGTCCATATAAAAGACCAAATCCCGAAAGATTCTCTATCTAATTGTGTCTACAAAATAAAATGCTCGGAATGTGATGCGATCTACATCGGACAAACATCTCGAGAAATCAAAATCAGAAGAAATGAACACCGTAGAGCTTCTCTTCGACCACCAAGAAATCCAGTTGAACTGGAAAAACTTCAAAAATCATCAGCCATAGGTCTACATGCTATAGAATCAGGCCACAAAATTGATTTTGACAATATTGAAATAATCCAGAAAAACTTCAGAAACCACAAAGAACGTCTAATATCAGAAGCACTTCATATCAAGTGGAATCCAAATTGCCTGAATAGGAATGATGGACTGAAACAGAATCTAACCTGGCTACAACACCCTCCCCCATGAAGTAGCAAAATCAACGCAAATGTGGTGAGCAAGTTCACTATGTAAACGCACACTACTTTCATAATTCTACACACTGACAAAATCCAACAATCTACACTTGGTTTTACTATCTTTACCAGTTCGCTAACTTGACAACCAAAAATGACCCCAGACTAACGAACGATGATCAAGTTAGTAAACTTTATTTTGATATAATAACAGATATACTATTACCTTTGATATTTGGTTTGAACGATCTTCATTGTTATTTTGACTTTCAATATGTCCTTTTAAGTTGAACTAAGTCTATATTTTTCTCACCCCCTAACTCTTTGTTATATATATGCTGAGATTTTGTAAATTCCGGTTTAATAATACTTTGAGAAAGCTATTAGCATTAAATAGCGAAACGTCAGTAAAAACAATCTCGTTTTGTTTTTTCATTCATTGGGAAATACAAAAAACCTCTATTATAATGAATATCATATACCCAATGCCCAAATTTTTTCAAACCGTTAAAAGTGAACTTGGTTTGGATATATATAATGTTCATATTTAGCTTAGATTACAACACATGCTTCAATGTATCGGTGGCACAGCGGTAAAATGTTCGCCAACCACGCCTCATGTGGTTCAGGGTTCGATCACCGGACAACGTACTCCTCTACCTCGCCAAGCCAGTAATAAGACTGGTAAAGAGGGAAGGTTGGGCCGGGAGATGAGGCTAGCAACCCCATCCTGCAAAAGTAATAAACACTACTTCCATGATGGGTAAATTTTGTTTTGATAAAGTCTCAGTGTTATACAGTAATGTTTACTGATGACGTTTCGAGCACAATTTATTGCTCATAATCATATCAAGGTAATCACACGACTTCCTAAATTCATTTATATAGTTCCATTATTTTTCACTTGATTTGATTGGCAGTAGTATTTTCCATATTTCAGGTATGAGTGACGAGTCATTCCTATTGCATGTGTTGGGTGTAGACTCGATGAACAAGGATTCAGTAATCAACCTCTCTCTCCACCTACCTAGATTACTTTTTAGAATTTTAACCCTCTCCCACCCTATTGTGTGGTTGTGTGTTAGCGCATGCATTGCAATTGCTGAGCTTTTTTCTAAATTACTTATCTTTTCAGGATCAACCATTCTTACCTTGGCTAAATTCTTATGTTCCGATAATCTGACTACCCCGGAACTACTAGTATGACCTATGTAGTTGACCTCACAGTCATTGCAGGGTATTATTGTAAATTATATTATTTTGTTTAATTGGGTCAACTGGGTCCTTTAACCTACACAGCTTGTCCCTCCTTGGGTGAGTTTGTAGGTTTAAATGATACCACCCCAATTCCTGCTTTATTGAGAATCCTACGTAGTGAGGGTCTCAGATGCCCCATCCCTCCTTATACGGTAAAACTAATGTAGGTGCCTTATATCCTCTATTATTTATATTATCATTACTAGTTTCACAATTATTTTTATTTTGTTTTCGGCCTTTACTGATCTTCCTAATTAATTTTAAAGGATAGTTATTTCAAACCAACGCCTCTTCTATCTGTTTTATTTCATCATTTAAGTCTTTTTGTATGCTACTTAGTGTTATTGCTTGGTTTGTTAGACACTTAACTAAGTCTGCCTTAATAGTTAACGGATGAGATGAATTAAAGTCTAAATATCTATTAGCAGAATGCGTTGGCTTTCGGTAAACACTAGTGTGCACCTTACCTTCTTCTATTCATTTTATTTTGCAATCTAACAGCATAGCTAATTCTCCTTGTTCATTTTCCAATTCAAATGTGAATTTTATTCCCTTTACTAGTGAGTTTATGTGTGTGAAGAAGCTAGAGAAACCTTTTGTTTCTAACACTGTGAAAGTGTCATCCACCATATTTTTGGAGTAGGATTAAACGTATTAATAAACACTACTGCAGCTACCAAAACTTCAGACCTCTGGCTTGAAGCCCTATATTCTATTGGTTAGGTTATTATTTGGGAATATAGAAAAATCTATAAATTTTTAATTAGTCAAAAGAAAGATAGGAATAATAATTTCACTTACAAACAGGTTCACCAAGTTGACGAAGATACGCTCTCACTTCTGAATCTTCAGTAGACACTTGAATTAAACGTGCCTGAATAACAGATTTGATGAAATAATATTTAAAAAAATTAAGAATTAGTCGAAAAGAAGGATAGAGAATATATTTTTCATTTTACAACCCTTGCAGATAACTTTAAAAGAAGAGGTACTGGCCCCACTTCCACACCTCTTCGTAGCCACGCAGGATACTGCGTTTTTACAGCTTCTTGGACAAAACTCAAGTCAAACGATCGATACACCTGGCTCCACTCAACCTGGTGAATTGATAAACGCATACAGAGCTGGTCAACTGAAGGATCTTCTCCTTCGGATCGAATATATATATAAAACGCTTTACCTAACGATGCTGTAGCACCTAGTGTCCCCTTTTCGGAGACTACGCCTTAGAATTTAACGTTCATATACAGCGTTTTCTTGGTTACAAGTGTTGGACGACATTTCACAGAGGTTTCAATTGTATGTTCTTATCTATGAAAATATGGGGGAAATCCAATTTCTATCAGGAATTTTCCTTAGAAGATTTAACTTCCCCTGCACAGCATCAGGACTACAGAAGTGGCGAAAGAGAGTTGTGCATTGTGGTAGAGTATAATTCCATTATGAATAAAATTTGTTTTGAGACCCTATGTAGGATTCTGAATAAAGCAAGAATTTGAGTGGCATTTAAACTTACAAACTCACTCAGGCAAGACAAGCTCTGTAGGTTAAAGGAAGCATGAAATTCATCTTGAAACTGTAATTCTAACTGCTGCAATAATCCTCTGTTTCACTAGCTAATTCTCATTTGATAATAAAAAGGTAGGTTCGGATATTTGATACGATGGAGGGAGTTGTGGTGGGGTAGTTTTAGTGAGGCGGCATCAGATTCTTCAACGCTGCACATATATGCCTCTGACTGTGACAAGGGACGACAAGGATATGATGAAGTCCAGATCAAGATGGACATCATGGTGATGTTGCACTAGCTACAGTCGTGTTGTACTCACTCGAAAGGTAAGGAACGAATGGAAATATTTAGCATTAATAAAAGGTCGAAAACGCCCCCGATATGTATCCACATGACGTGTGTTTTGTTTTTGACAGTCTATTTTATTTTGCTATGTGTATATGGATCGATATTCCATTATAACTGACATTATGCTTTTGTCTGTCCACTAACTAAATAAACAATGTATGACCTTGTTGTCACATGACATTACAACCAATCATGTTAAGACTGTCAATTTATTGGTTCATGTGTATTAGCCATTTCCATACATACTTTTGTACTGTATTCTTGTTCACACACTTTTTCGTACACTAAGTACCACTTCACTCACACTCTCGTGTGACATTTATTTTCCTTGTCTGGAAAATACAAGTATCATTGTAAACCTCGTGGTCTTCTGATTTCCCCACTTTCCGCGTCAGGACTATTAACTACTCGACGAGTACATAACATAATTGGCGACGGGAAAACTACTAATAACTCATTCAGTAGCAGTACACAACAGCCCCCCCCCACACACATACTTATCATTAAAAATAGAAAATCAGTTAACTGGTAATAAAATTCTCACTTTTTTACGTAATTCCAACTGGTTCAACGCTTCTTGAGCATTTTTATCTACCTCATTTATTATGGGAAGACCTAATCAAGAAAAAATAAAGGTAAATCAAAGTTTAAACACGACTTTATAAAATAAAAAAAGAATAACAGTTTTTTATTATTATCATTATTGTTGTTCCCTTGGGTTCCTAGTGGAACATAGGGCTTCAACTGCACGTCTCCACTTGTTTCTGTCTTCTGCTGTACTTACTTTTCACCTGCATTCATGTTAGTCCATACTCTTTCAACTCCTCTTCACACGATCTCCTCCATGTCAACCATGCACTGACGTCCCACTCGCCGCTTCCCTCTCGGGTTCCACTCGAGTAATGGCCTGACGCTTACGCGATGTCACCCAATGGCCTCCTCAGCGAGTGACGTCCAATCCATCTCCACTTTCTCCTGCATATTTGTTGTTGTTGGGCGATTGGTTCTTGTTTTGTTTGTTAGTGCCCATAGTTTCTTGTTGGTGATACTTTCCGGCCCGGCCATCTGATCTTCAGTATAGATCCAGCGAAGACAGTTGTTGATAAAGGTGTGCAACAGGCTGTTGGAAATATTCTTTGTGATCCTCCAAGTTTCGTTGAAGGATTGGTGTCAACTTGTAGTTGTGTACGCGCTGTGGTTAGTATTTCTGGACGGATTGCAGGTGGTGGTGGTCAGTTCAAGAGTCCTTTGAAGTGATCCGCTCATTGTTTAATCTGTTTTTCTTCCTTAGTAATTGGGTTCCCTTGGCTGTCTTTTATAGGTTTCATTTGCGTTGATCTCTTCCCGGATAGAGACTTGGTTATCTGATATAGTGTCCACAGGTCTCTTTTGCCTGCTGCCTTCTCAGCTTCAGTGGCCAGATTGTCGCAGGATTGTCTTTTGTCCATCCTAGCACTCTTCTTCACTTCTTTGTGCAGTGCTGTGTACGTTGAGCTCAGCGTCTCCTTCTCTTGTCCATCTTTGCATTGAATCATTTTCTCTTTCACCATTCTCCTCTCCTCTATTAGCTTCCAAGTGTCCGCTGAGAGCCATTGACAGCAGCTGATTTTATTAGTCTATTGTTATTATTATAACTGTTCGTTTTTAAGTTCTGAATGGAACCATGGGTGATCCACAACGTAAAAAAATCAGTGAGGCGTTCGAAGTGAATACAGGAGTACGATAGAAGTTAGAATCCATGAGCTGGCCACCGAGTCGGGTCATAGCGGCTGAATGGCATACGAGCTAGCTAGCCTTGTTACCAGAAGGTCCTGGGTTTGAACCCAGTTAGGGTGGGTGCGTACTGTTGAAGAGTCCCAAACTAGGCTGGCGAAACAGCTGTCCAGTACTCCAGCTTGTTTTCCAATAGTTCTCTAACCAATGTCAGTTCATGATGAAATCTTGTAGCCAATCAATCAAATCGCTACAAACCAACACTTGAATAAGACAAACCTGTCTGCCTATTGTCACCGATAATATTCTCAAATGTGGTGGACTGGATTATGGGTCAGACTGTATGGGTGAGAAGACAGGAATACTCATTATAATAAAGGTTTTCTTGTATTTCCCAATGAATTAAAGACAAAACGATACTCTTGTTTTTACTGACATTTCACTATTCACTATTGCTGCTGCTAATAGCTTTATCACTAGTTTCCTAAATAATCGCTGACCTTTTCATGAATAGATTCGAAGATAACAATCTTTTCAAGCATACTCACTCCTGAAATATTGTTGAGATATGTAGGTGGTACTTTTGTAGTGCTAAAACGAGATCTACACAGTTCATTCGTGGAGAAACTGAACAATCTATCTCCCAGAACCCAGTTTACTCCGGAAGCAGAATCAGACGTCGGTGAACTACCAATTCTAGACTGCCTGGCTAGTTATGAGGGGGGGGAAACGGAGATTTTAGTATACCTATATTCAGGAAGAAAACCCACTCCAATAAATATTTAGACTTTGGATCATAACACCACCATCAGCGCAAAGGTAGCAGTTGTTTCAAAAGTCTCCTGGACGTGCACACTCTCTGATAACAGGCGAGAAAAAGAAGAAATATCAAACTCTCAAACAAAACAAAACTACCCAAAGAACTTCATCACCAAAATCAACACTGACATTAAATATGGTCGAAAACGTATTCCGAAAACATGGACACCTCAACAGTTGTCATTCCATATAGCGAAGAGATGTCAGACGACATCAGAAGAGGGGTGCTCAATAACAGGCTCGACATCAGAGTTTCCTTCAAAACATCAGACACACACTACAAAGCAACCTTATCCAGATAAAAGACCAAATCCCTAAAGATTCTCTATCTGATTGCATCAATTAAATACAATGCTTAGAATGTGATACGACATACATCGGACAAACATCGCCAGAGAGAAATCAAAATCAGAAGAAATGAACACCGTAGAGCCACCTTTGTTCAACCACCGAGGAATAAATTCAGTTGAACTAGAAAAGCTTGAAAAATCATCAGTCAGCCATAGGTTGTCTACACACCATAGAATCAGGTCACAAAATTGATTTTGACGATAATGAAATCATCATCCAGAAAAAGCATTTCAGAAATCCCAAAGAACGTCTAATATCCATCAGAAGCACTTCATATCATCAAGTGGAATCCGAATTGTTTGAATAGGAATGATGGACTGAAACAGAATTTGACCTGATTACAACACCCTCACCCATACCCGCATGAAATAACAAAATCAACACGAATATGATAATCAATTTTATTATGTAAACACACACACACTACCTTTTATAATTTTACACACTTATCAAATCCAACGTTCATCTACACCAACCTGGTTTTGTTATCTTTACCAATTGGCCGATATGACAACGGAAAAATGACCCCATACTGAGGAACAATGATTAAAATTTTTATATACAAGCTGAGTGGATTTTGTAAATTCTGGTTTAATAATACCACTTTGATGAAGCTATTAGCGGTAGTATTAAGTAGCGAAACATCAGTAAAAACCACGACAATACCGTTTTGTTGTTTTTCATTCACTGGGAAATACAAGAAAACCTTTATTATAATGAATATCATATACCACCCAATGCCTAAATTTTTTCAGACTGTCAAAAGTGAACTTGATTTGGACATAGAAAAGACAGACAGCGGGTCCGGTGTGAGGACAAATACCCGCCGAAGACATTGGCTAGCAGTCGCGCTATGTCGTGAATTGGCAGAAGTTAGAATTCGTGGGCCATTTCCACGGGTCCCAGTGGCTTAATGGTATACCCAGCTAGCTTGCCTTGTAACCGGAAGGTCCTGGGTTCGAACCCCGCGATGTGGGTGCGTACTGCTGAAGAGTCCCAAGCTAGGCTGGCGAAACAGCTGTCCAGTACTCCCTGCAGGTTTTCCAATGATTCTCTAACTAATGTCAGCTCATGATGAAATCCTGAAACCAACCAAATCCCTACAAACCAACACTTAAAGACAGGAATACGTTGGATCACCGATGGTTGCGTCGGTGGCACAGTGGCTAGGATCGTCGCCGACCATGCATATGATCCGAGGTTCGATCCCCTGCCGACGCACACTTGATATCTATGGTCGGCCTGCAAAATTTGGGCTACTGATATCACATGCTGAAAATTCCATACTTGTACCAAAAATACAGTGTGGAATCAAGCTGTAATCAAAAATAAAAAAATGATAAGACACTAGAAGATTTGGATTTCAGGAGTGGATGGCCTACGTTTAGTGTCACTCAAACTTTGAGGCTTACAGGGAAAAACGAAAAAAGAAAATGGATGAATAATCAGGCAGGCAGCGATGATAGGACTACTCCAGGTGAACATAGAGAAGACGGATGTGATGAAGATAACCAACCAACCAACCAACCAACAACATTAACAGCACCAATCACCATCAACGGGGGGGGTCCTGATTGAGGTTACTTCCTGCCCTCACTTATCTAGGAAGCATCGATCTAAATACACACGGAACGGATGAAGACATCAAAACTAGCCAGTCAGATTCGGAAAGGCAAGGGAAAGGCAAGAGACACGCCTTCATTAACCTGAAATCAATTTGGAAATCTTCTGCACTCACTCAGTCAGCATAGAGAGAAAGATTCGGATACTGTTCAACATCAATGTTAATTAAGTCAGTCAGTTCCGCTATATCGGTCAGAAACTTGGCGCATCACAAAGACCATTTCAAACAGCCCACTTCAGACTTTTATCAACAGCTGCCCCCCCCCCCCGCTTCGCTTCGCTAGCTCCATACTAAAGATCAAATAGCCAGGAAGAATTACTTTTATTATTATTGTTTCCTTTAGTTCCTAGAGGAACATAGGGCTTCAGCCACGCATATCTCCATTGCGTTCGGTTCTCCACAAAAGTGTTCACTTGGCTCCACGTCCACCCACATGCTTTCTTCTCCTCTTCACATCGCGTTTTCCATGTCACCCTTAGACGACTAACTCGCCGCTTCCCGTTCGGGTTCCACTTGAGGGCCTGTCTTGTGATGTCACTTGAAGGTTTGTTTTCTCAGAGTATGGCCAATCCACCTCCATTTCCTCCTGCTTATTTGTTGTACAATTGGTTCCTACTGAGTTGGTGCATTCATTGTCAGATATCCCTCTCTGTTGCTGATGTTTTCTAACTGGCCATCTGATCTTGAATATTGAGCGAAGACAGCTATTGGTGAAGGTCTGTAGATTATTTGAGGTGCTCTTAATAATGCACCGGCCAAGTCTCTGATCCGTAAAGCAAGTAGCACTGACTTCACATTGGAGTTGAAAATCCAGATCTTATTTTTCATGCCGAGTAGAGCAGTTGACGTCCACGCAGACTTGAGAGTAATGAAGACTAGTCTTGCTTTCCCGATCCTCGCTGCTTTGGTATCCTCGTCAGTTCCTTCCGCCTGGAGTTGAAACGATGCTTCCCAGGTAGGTAAGGGAGGTTGTTTCTCTCAGGTTCCTCCCATTTATGCTGATTGTTGTCTGTTGGTGTTGGCCAGGAATCTTCATCACCTCTGTTTTCTCTATGTTCACCTGAAGTCCTATCTTCTCTGGATGCTTCTTCTTCTGTGGACTTGTTGC